AATTTTAAAGTTTTGATGAGCAAAAAAAAAAAAAATATCTTATCACAAGGATAGACATAAATCTTTTTTAATATTAAACAATTAATGACCAGTATTTAGTTCCTGAAAACTCTTTGTCATAAAATTGGTCATGGCAATAAAAATACATTGAAAATAAAATTGATGGTAAATTTCAGACCCTTTAAAGTTTCAAGAATCTGAAAATGTAGAAGCTTCATGTCAGGAAAGGAATAAATATCAAAGATTATGTAGATTTATTAAGTGAGAAATTTTCTAACCCTGTCCCACCAGACCTACCCTAAAATATATATTTATAAAGAATAAATATGGTAAATCCCTATAATTCAAATAAACTTGATGTTATTTAATATGCATGATTTTTTTATAGGTCATATCAATAACAAACTAAAGAAAGATAATATGAGAGTAAATGTTGGGGCGGTTTAAGATTAAGACGTAGGTGAAAAGCTATGTTTAGATTAGAATTAATAAAAATCAAGATAATATATTGAAGATATTTGTCTCGAGCCACACTATCTTGTGATTTTTTATTCACTATCTAACAGTCTAACTGATCATAACTACCCCTTATTTTTGTGTATAATTGGGACCAATTTTGATAAATTACCCCACATCAAAGGGCCTGACGTCAAGTTTAAACAAATATAAGAAATTGATAAGATGATTTGCCTCTTTCTTCACTAGTTATAAAGTCATTATTTAGATATTGCTGTAAGGGTTATGTCTCAAGGCTCTTTCATATCTTGTATTTTTGTCTGTTTAATAAGATCATGTTATCTCTTATTGATATTAATTTAATCACACCTTCAAATTAATCTTCAATTCTACACCTTCAAGCTACAAACAAATACAAAATCATAAATTATTGGAAATAACATATTTTTTTCTCTTGGGCGCAAAGACTTAATTGAATGATGAAAACTGTGGTGGGTACTGCAAGGCAGGAAATGCTACTGGAAAACTTAATGGGATCTGATATGTCGGCATCCCTTTCAGAGAGTCCACATAGGCTAATATGGTTCATTTGCTATATTTACGGCTTATAAGAAATATATCAGAAATAAGAAGGAAAGATCACAAAGCTTCCACACACTGACCAAAATTAAAACCCACTATCACCATGTAACCAAGTAAATGACATCATGTGAAGATTCAAACAACCCATCCTCAAAACAGTGTCCATGATACAGAAACGTACCTATTAATAAGGGCTATTGATCTATTTATATTTTTGCCTTTAAACATTAAAATATTTTGTTTGACAGCAGTCTAAATGCCTGGAACAAATGAATATACCGTACTTTTGACAAAAGACATAGATACATATTTTCAGAGAATATAAATGAAGAAATATTTTAATCTAATTACAAGATCAAACCATTTAATATCAAGAAACTCTATAGATTATGACAACTAGACTAAAGGTTAACATTGAAACAGCAGACTTTTAAAGGTGATGACCTTGAATAGAGGTCATATGATGTCCAGACAGTTTCAGCAGACCATGTGGTATGAGACTGACCATCATGCTTCGTTAACAATTGACCAGAGTGAAAGAGAAAGTTGACATTGCGTGACTGAATGCTTAGTTTAGATTCAGACAGTGATGACTAATTGTCTCAGTGTTTTAAAACATTGTGAAATGTTTGATGAATGTTCCAAATTGGTTGATGAAAGATGATTGGTTATTTTCACACCTGGAAATGACATCTACTTATTTGAAAAATCTTGGTGGACATTACCTTGTGTTTGAAGGAGAAGTTTGACAAGAGAGAAAGAATGATAAGAGATGACTAGTAAGGGTAATATCTATTCATTAGACCAGAACTCAGACTAAACAATATAAGAATGCAATCTATATTAATCATTGGCATCAAATTATACAAATTATCAAATCCCTATCCTTGTTCACAATACACAAACTTCTTCAGCTCTGTTCTGAGAACCTATAATTTTTATAATGCAAACAGGCAAGCTTCTGAGAACCGCTTTAATTCTGACACACCTTGATGAACACTTTTTAGGGTCCTTGAGTGAAGGCTCAAATAAAGTGGTCTACTCTTTGAAAGCTAAAATACATTTTCCTGTGGGAACCCAAATATGACCAACTCTGTGATGAGGTTTAACATCATTGTTTTAATATAGGTTGTGCAGTGGAAGACAAGTTATAACAGAATGTGAGATCATTAATACAAAACAAAATGTGAATTCAAATATACAAAATATAATATATATTCTATGGTTAATATTTTACAATTTCTAATAATATTTCTGATTGAACAACAAATAAATAATGGAAATAAAATCTCAATCACAGTAATATAATTATAATAAATCTCTTAGTTTTCTTTCTCATACTACACAGAAAAAGAAACGAAAATTGCCTGAGGCTAGATCGCGATTTCAAGTCATTGAATTATATTATCAAGAAATAAATTAATAGATTTTGATCAGAAATCAATGAAAAAGCAGAAAATGGCTTGTGTTGGGGTCAAAGTTTGTGTTGGAGTGAGCACCAAGTAGTCTTCTAGTGTCTAAATGAATTTCAATCACACTAATATTGTGGTAAATTAGATTATATAGTGAACAAACCACACTCAATTTGATTATAGCAGATCCATTGACTAATTTTATACCCTACCATCAAATAACTTAAACTAAAAATAGAGCATTATAGAAGAAATCTATTTAAACCTCAGTGTAAACAAATATAAAACATTATCCTGGTTGGTATTTGTTTTATTAGGTAATTTATGAGTTAATATATTCATATATAAGAATATGTAGAACCTCAGAATTAAAAGTAACTGCTCTTGGTAATACAAAAGAAATTTCAAAATCAGAACTGAAGAAATTTATCATTCTAAAGTAAAAATTAGAAATTCAAAATATTTTATTATAGTACATAATTTTTTTGAAATTTCAAATATGATATTTATTTATTTTGTGCTGAGTAGATCAAGAACTTTTTTTTTCCGTAACTTTTTCAATTTCTTGGACAATGGAAGAAAAAACTATGAAAAGCTGTCAGTGTCTATTAGATATCTAATATCTCAAGACACAGCAGGATAGTGATGACCCTAAAACTCCCTATAATCTTATTATATCAAACAAAACCACAGTTGACAATGGTCTCTATTTGAACTATTTTTATTATAAATTTCATTTATCAAATTTATTAAGTGTGAAATGATAAATTAATATGAATATAGAAATTGTAAATTGTCATGTAATCATGTAATTCTCTGGTAAATTTGAAGTAGGTGGGATTTACTGTCTTTATTGTAAGTTATCTACAATATAAGGCTGCAATCTTTTCATTATATGTGATGCACTTCTAAATATTCACATAGATAAACACCTCATACAAGATATTTTTATTGTATTTTTTGTAATCCATAAGGGTAAATATTCATCAAATCATTTGCACTACCAGCTATAATTTTTGACTATCTAAAAACATAAATATAATCTTATTGCAGTGCAAGGGGCAGAAAATACTTCCTACAGACCCAGGTAGGATACATAGACTTATTTTGTGGATTTGCAGACTACCTTACGCTTTGAAAATTGGAAATCTCCTAGCCATTTAACTTTTTCAGTATGTTATAAGAATTGATGCATACTGATATTATAACATCATGTGCAATAATGACAAAAATAATTCATAACTGCTAAGTCAATTTGGCATTTTTCTTTGAGACTGTTTTTGTTAAACAGATCTTATTTCCAGCAGACAATTTTAAATAACCAACTTTTCCAGACACTTAGTCAAAAGTGGTTAAAATTCCTTTAATTTACCAACAAACTTCAGCAAAAGTAAACACAGATTTTATCAAATAGAGTAAGTTTAGATTAGAAAATGTCTTGATTTGGCAGCAGAACATGTGACAAGTGTCAAACTAAAATAAGGACCTCACAAATTGGCTGTGATCACATTTTACAATCTAGTAAGCTAATATAAAGGAGTTTCCCTCAAGTCTTTGGCAGAATAATTAGTTTCTTAATTTACTCTTTGTGTCCTCCACAATTCACATGGCTTTCAGATGATACGATAAGATTTCAATCTTTTACTCTCAACATCAAGGCAGTGTTCTTTATTCCATTGAAAGGTTTCCAGAATAAAGAATGTGCAGCAATAGTGCAAAGAAATATTTTTGGGCCTTTTTTTAGTTAATGTATGTATGAATTCATTGATTCTTGAGATATGCATCATTTTGTGGACAGTCCACATTTATACTGTACAAATTATCAATGAAATTGTCTTTAAAGCCAATTCACAATTCAAAATTCAACCATTATTTTACTCTAGTAAGACATTATTATCACACAATCCAAGTTCATACAGACATCGGCAACATGTCCAAATTAGTTCTCTTCAAAATTAAAATTCTCAGTTAAGACCATCCTCATCAGAAATAAAATTCCAAGCAATGGCTATATCTGACCAATTGATGTACAAACCAATTTATCAATTAGTAAAACAAGATAAAAGAAATTCCATATTTTGATAAAATCAAGGTTATTTAGAAGATAACATGGTAGTGGTCAGCCATCTTGAAACTGTCAGAGTAGAATGATGCTGTCAAGATAGTAAATAATAAAATAAATAGTAAGACTACTATCAATAAACTCATCCAATTCATTATGAGAAGGAGTGAGCCAAACACCACTGGGACTGTAGAATGATTAGAAATTGGATGTGCAATTCATTAATCTGACATGCAGAGTTATATGAGGAGAGAATGTGTAACACCCATTTCAACTAGTGAACCAAAAGGAACCTTATAAACAGATTGTATCTAAATAAAGACTAAATTACAATTTCAAAATTATCTTGGAAAGATTGGTCAAAAAGTAGTTTTGACAGTGATCAGCTTTAAGTCAACTGACTGGACATCTCTAAATAGGTGTTTCTTCAATTCCATTTTGAATCTATCTTAAGACTATGACTATATCTCATCCTAGCTCCCTGATTTTCAGAAAAATAAAATACCTACCTCAATAAAGTTAGATAATAGGGCACAACTCAATTCCTGTTCCAGTATTTCTCTATTTAATGTATTTTGATAACAGCAGGCTATGAGAGTAGGGAACAGTATATTGGTCAGTTTAGGGTCACTGAAATACTCAAATGGTAAAACACAGAGTTGTTGTAATACTGTTGGTGGTTGACCAGACTGGATTATCACCTGAAAAACATCAAAATATAAATTTTGTTAAATTATTTCAAGCATGAATCATAGACATTTAAATCTGATGACTTTCTTTACAACAGTTTGCAGAAATTATCATGTCTAAGTTCAACTGACTACAATTTAAGCCAGATACTTCTCGGATGAAATAAATCACAAAATGAAGCTAAAATTTGTTTTCTCAACAACAGTTATCCTGAATAAATCAGCTTGAGCTCATATTGTTATCTTGAAGGCCATATACATTTTGATAAATAAATATATAAATAATGATTTATGCTAAATTTGAGAATATTTGGTTGAAGTAAAGGAATTTTATCATGACATTATAGAAATATGAACTGAGCACATTGGTGATAATTCTTCTAATTAAAAAATATTTGGATTGACACAACGATTCATTTAGAAGTCCATAAAAACTGTTGTTTCTTGATGATTCTTCATGTATAAAATTTTAGTTACTAAATTTAGAGTGACATCTTCTTAAGTCTGGAGGCAGAAGGGACAGTATATTTCAGGCATGGGAGTAGAAAAAGTTAAAAGAGACCCAAAAAAAACTTTTTCCTTAAGACATCTTCTGCCTTTATTCAACATGCATTCCAGGCGCCTTACCCATGAGACAGGTAGTGAATTACCCTTGCAGAATGTGTAAAGTGCTTCATTATTTTGCAATAAATCACTACTATACATAGTCTAAAATAGCCATAAATAACTTATACAGTATGGAATATATTAAATAGTATTTTTTATATAAATGATATATTTCAGTTGAAAAGAATAATTTGAAATGTCGAGACATTAAGGTTATCATTTATCTTGTGAACTTCATCTTGCCCGTCTCATTTCTGACTGATGTAATCAAATAAATTTCAACCTAATCTTGGCTAACGTTCATTAAACACAGTAGGATAGGAACACGAGTGTTAATTCCTTCATTAAGTAAATCTATTAAAATCCACATGAAATGGTAGAAATTCTGCCACCTCTCACAGTCTACTCAGTAGGGAAGGTGTATGCAATTTTCTTCACATTCCCAATATTTCCTGTTTAAGGTCGCGTAAATCATAAAAGTGAAAAATTCCAGGTCTCATATCAATTGCAGAAAAGGAAAAGTCTTACGACCCCCTACAACACTCTTCCTTTTCAATACAGAATAAAATAAATGACAGACATTTAAATGAAAGGAAACACATAAAATTCTATATTTGAATATATCAAGTCTCAGAATACATCTTTTTTTACTAAACAATTCATATAGAAAAATTATTCTTAAAGGGACCAGTGCACCATTTTCATGGCTGATTTGAGTCTTGAATATATGTAAATAGTCTTCAGAAGTACTTGATATGTATGAAATAACGCATAATTCCTTAAAATACTGGGCATTTTACTCACTATTTCTATATATGTCTTTTCTATATATCACAGAGTATCTTAAAATGATGAGTCGTCATTTTAACGTTCAAACACAGATAATTCTTGACACATATGGATTTAAAGGCTCAAATTCTAATGGTGAGCTGAGAACAATTTTGGTCAAACAAAATGTGCATCTCTCACTTTAATGTCATGGTGAACAAGTATAAGAATACATCCCAAATTCTTTAGGTTTATATTTTGTTTATTGATTTAACAAAAAAATCCTTTCCTAATGTATCCATGTCCTTGTGTTTCTGGTAAGGAACAAAACTGCCAGAGTATCAGAACATCAATGTGTCAATATGTAAAAATGTTGAAACTTCTGCAATTAAATGTCCATCAAATATGTAATAGAGACTTTTCACCAATTTGACAGTTGTCAAAAATCATATTATCATTACATCATATGAGATTGACAAACCAGAAATTGCTTATAATTTTCAATAGAGAAAGCAGGAAGCATATTTTTCTTTACACATTTACAGAGTTGGCCTACTAAATGGTATAATAAATTGGTATTTTTCAATAATAACATTGCTAGGAAATGTATTTTAAGTATCTTTTTTTAAGGCACAGAGCACTACAAGAGTAATTATAAGAATACTGTTTCAGACCACAATAATTTATGAAAAATCACAAGAGAAGGACTAGTCAAATACTAAACATTTTATCTGTTCAACATACCATTACAATAAACATCAGCATTCTAACAGACTTTCATCAAAAGAAAAGATCAGATAAGCTTTCAACATTCCTCACAAGAATTCGATTACAAACAAATAAAACAACAGAGCTGTTAATAGAAAACAAATCACTAGTCTGTTGTTCTTTTGGGACAGTAAGGACAATAATGATGGCATTTATGGCACGGGTCGAGAGTGAGATGCCATGAATAATATTTCTAACCGAGGGGAAGGAGTGAGTAACTCTCACCAGGTGAATAAATAATACAAATAGACTGTAGCACATGGTAATTATCAACCAGGTTGTAGGCCGAAGGTACTCTTCGTTCACAAATCTGTCCTCAATTGGTGTACAAAGCTCGGAACCTCTCTACTATATACTAGGCATGTCCGACTGTCCTCAGTTACCGACAGTCCTATATATTTACTCTACTGTCACTGAGTTTATGAATGTGGTAAACAATACCAACAATTCAAAACAAGAAAGTTAGTATTTTAAAAGCAGTTTGTTACAAAATATATTCTTTAGTCTTACTGAAATCAACATTCTTTCGTTTTACATGTTACAAGTACCAATGTTTTGATGACAATTTATGAGAATATTTCCTTTTGTAAATTACTCTTTCAATTACATGTTCAAAGAAGGTCTGGGGTCTGAGGTTTTCCTTAGTTTTGGATTCTTGGATACTTATGTCTAGATATCCCAACCTGTCTAGAGATCCCAACACAAAATTTGATATTTTTGTATCAAAGAGGTTAATAATATTAGGGCCTAAAAAGTTAATATTCTACTGGGTTCCAAAATCTGCTGTGTCCTGATAAATAATTAAAGCTAAAGAGATTAATGGTCCAATCACATCAAACTTTTGAAAGCAGCAAATTATTTGAATCTGGTTGTAAGCTGATTTACAGGAATCTGTAAACATCAGAGACAACTTAGATATCTAATTACAAATCACTACTGTCATTTTGTTACAATTTTAAACAAGGCTTAAACAAATAATACCCTACTAATCTTCTTAAAGCCTGTACCAAGTTTTAAAATCGCCTCGATCCTATTTCATCACCTGTCTTTAACTATGAGCTCTCATCATCATTAATCATCATTAAATACAGAGTTGTCTTTCTTCATTTTACAACTAATAATCAACACAACTTTAATCCTTCTAAACATATTGTTTTAAATTACAGCTTTGTATTTCAAGTCAAATATAATGAATGGTGCCATGATGTGCAGGATTTATTTTCACAACTGATACCCTAATCTGTAACAATTTTAACATGAAAATGAAAATGTGTCAAGACCACATGATAAAATTTGAAAATAATCCTTTAGATCTTTAAAATAAATACTATGAATTTCTTTTATTTGCTAAATAAATGAGCAAAAAAGATGGCATAAGCTTATCTTGTGCTTTATTAATATCAAAATTTCAATCATACAGATATTGAGTTTTGAAATAAAAAAGGTTACATTACTAAAAGCAAATCAAATGGAAAATTTCAGTGATTTATATAATCCAGAGTCCTATCTTAATATTTACAGATTCAGTCACCTTGATTTCAATATAATATAATTCATGATTTAATTTATTGAAATAATAGATTGAATACTGTATCAATTTTCAAACTACACAGCAGAAACGGTATGGTATTTCAAAAATAACTTGTTAAATATTTAAAATTGATATATTCTAATCTGACACAAATATGTCATGATGAATCTAAAACTTGACAAAAATCATTGAACTTCTCTCAGATTGCAGAAGACAGAAATTCAGCTGAATGTTAATTTATGACAATGTAAAGACTCTACAGGGACACCAGTTCTCTTGTATTGCCAGGATGAAATAGGGTGTGGAATAATAATGTTATATTCCCGTAGAGAATCGGCTTAGCCATTCACGGAACAAGTTGCCAGTTAAAACTAACAAAAATACAGACTATATTCAATTAAAACATGAGACACTCTCTATTCACATATTTCATGCCTGTCCCCATGGTATTGATTGTAGTTTTAGAGAGAGGTTTTCCGTGTCGAGTCAAGGTTTTAACTTGATTAAAAGTGTTCTATTCATTGTCGGCTGCCATTAAAAGCCTCATAAATTTCAAGTGAAAACACAATGTTATTGAAAGATGAAGTAAAGAAGGGGTATAAATGGAAGAAGAATAAAATAAGGAAATGACTTAATGAGAACCTGATATAAAAGGGGTGAAGATATTTAAGTCTAAATTGATCAATCTAATTATACTTCACATCAAATTAATCACTATTTAGATCATCATTTTTTATGCAACTCAAACAAATCTCCAGACTAAAATGATCAATGTTGTGAAGAGATCATTCAATCAATTATCATTAATTTTGACCGACAAATTACATGACCAAAAAATTTACAACTTCAAATTTGAAAAAATTATTTCATTGTGAATACCATAACAAAATATTTTAATAATTTAAATAACACAAGATATAAGATTGTTGATGTTTAATTCTATTTGTATGTATATAGTTGGACTAAATGCAAATTTTTAACCTTGTAAAGTGAATATCTTTATTATTTTAACACTTACACCTACCAGTAATAAGCTTATGTGATTGCTCAATTTGTGTTTTAAAAAATATCCTCACAGCTGCTATTGATAATTTGAAAACATCAGAGACTCCAAAAAATCACAAATATGCGTGCATAAAAAACTAACTTATGAAGTTATATTAATTATATCACATGATAATCTGCCTAGTCTTCTGTTTTTGTAAACGGCAAAAACCCATGAAAAGTTAATTTAAAAATTAAGAAATATAAACTCATACATGTAGTCATCTACGTTAATTTCACTACCTTTCACACAAAAACTTGAACAGACATAAGGACTAGAGTGGTGATATTTTTTAATATTAAATATGGTGGAATATAAAAATCTCACACAGACCTGGTTATCTGGATTTAAAACAGTAAAATTGCCAACACACAATATAACTTCATGTAATAATTCTTCATTAGGTTGATGGGTACAATACCACATTAAATAACTGGCTATATGACGGAATTCTAGAGATATACCCTCTTCACCCAGACTTTTCTGAAAAACATAAACAGATACATGAAAGGATAACAATTCTTTAGGGCATAAATCAAAGACAAATACTAATTTTCTAGGTATATTTAAAACAAAGACTTATTTGCAAGCCTTTGATCTGAAATAAAATGTCTCAAATTTTCCAGAATATTTTTCATAATCTCAATGCTATCAATAATTATTTAAACATGGGAATAAAAAATGATTAAAATTCCAACAATAAAAAGTTTAACCAAAAGTATCCCAATGTGTTATATGTCTGAGAACAATGAAAGAAATAGTCAAAATGTTGCAAAAAATGAAGCAATGACTGTTATATATGTATCCCCACATAAGCAAGTCAAGGGAGGTAACGTAATGTTCCTGATAGAAAATACTCAGTAATTTGCAAAAGCAAAACACTCAGGTGAAAAATTGTTTGTTTACACCTTTTAACTTGTAATTAATAAAAACAAAACAAAGATGATGGCAGTATTTAGGCAGTTGGGGTGGTCAGTAGGAATACAGACTGACACTGATGGTCTGGTATAATCAGGTTATATAATCCTAATAATGTTTGACACATCAGGGTGGGGTGGGCTACGACAACAAGTGTTTAGAATACTCTCAATGTTGCCATGTTCTAATGATAGATCAACATCTCATGGAGTGTAGAATAACTACTAGCCCTGTCTATCATTGAAATCAAGTATCATTCTAAATTAACTTTTTCATTTCCACTCCATTAGTTGTCTAATTGAGAAGAATTGTTTCGTGTTCCCTTACTTTACTTAAATTAGAACACAATTTTCTGGAAATTTTCACTTGTAAAAAGACAATTACAGACATTTGCTCAATGTTTATAAAAGATTTTAATATAATTTCATCACAGTAGTATGTTGATTACAATAGTGGTTAATTTTGAAATTCAGGTCCTTCTTTTATCAACAAGTCATTTGCAACATTTTTCACAAGTGATATCTAAATATTTTCTACATTTGATCATTTTGAACAGGTGCCAGATTTCCAAATATAAATGCCAGAATTATACAGCTATGCTGTCTGATTTTGGTATTGTTCTAGAGTTTCATGTTAATTGTACTAAAATAGAAGCTAATCATGTCAAATATACTCCATGATTTAAACATTTGAATTAAATACCAAGATAGTTTTAAAATAATTAATATCAAAAGCTTACTAACTTACTGGATAACATCTACAAGAATTTCTCTTCTTGCTTGAATAAATTCCAAATTTATATCTATTAAAATGTTATTTATTAAACCTTAGTCAAAATAAGATATAGTTGCAGGGTAAATGTGACCATGTGGTTGTTTATTTTTGAAAGCAATCAGAGTATATTAATGTAAAGAGTTTATTAAATATACACAATGTAAGTCTATACATCATGCAGCTGCACTGTGTATTTGTCTACTAGAATATGGTTTATTTTCATGATATCAGAGAAGTTAAATTACAAAATAAATCACAATTCTTAACTTAAAGGAAAAGTGCCACACAATATTTTTTTCAAAAAATTATTCATCCCATTATTTATATTGCCACTAAAAAATATTTAGACCAAGGCCAAAGATGTATTTTGGTTTACCCACAAAAAGATGTTCACATATTTTAAAGTATAGTTGAAGTCATTTATTTGATTGACATAAAAAGACGTCTTGCATGTAAAGTTCTTGCCTTATACTTCAGTAATCAAACTAACATTTGAAACAATTATTATAGATATGCATAATTATTCATCAATAATTAGTCCAGAAAGGTCAAAAACTTAATTTTTCTATTCATTTTTTTAACATTTTTCCCTCACTTAGAATTTTCTTTATACAAGAGAAGTCAGCTTTCTGAAGTTAGATCAAATTCTGTTTTAAGTAAGGTAAATGGACTACATTGGGAAAGTAATGTATTTTATATAGAAATCATCTAGATCACCTTACATCTTTAGCAATTTCATCTTGCCATCACCAATATATTACTTTACAATATACCTCCAAAACAAACATAACAATCTCTATATTGTAAAGGCCATTTCATTTCCAAATGTTGGTAAACCATTTTACCATCAATATAATGTCTTACAGAAGTTCATACCCCACCAAAGTTGACCCCTGAATATTGCGACCCCTGACCCCACCCTTCTCAATTCAAGTATATTAAAACAATATTTGAGTCCCCAGGAACAGATCTGATGTTAAGACCACCTGTTTTTGTCTCCGTCTCAACTCAATTCATTCCAAATTAGTCGCATGTGTCAAGATTTACATTTAGTTTTGTACTTCCGAATTGAGGACAGATCTAGATCGTTAGGTACATGGTGGTTATTAGTGCACCGTGAGGCGGGTAGCATAGCTCGGGTAATAACAATAGGATCATGTATTTCTAACGTTCAACCATCTGGGTATAATGATATATATAAACATAGAATATTAAATAGCTAGAAATGGTCTAACTGGTATAATAACGATATGTCTTATATACTGGTCTGGCAGGCACGACTTCAGGTCAGGGTATTCAGGACACATTGAGGTGAAGATTCCATCAAATTTATTATTTTCTCCACATTTGCACTTTCACGACAAATAATTCAAGTGTAAAAAAATAAAAATAAATTATTTCTGCTGGAAATGTAGTTTATATTATAAACAATATCTTAGTGACAAATATTTACATATTTTGACCTGTAAACAATTCATATTTCCTATTTGATTTGAGTATTTTTTTTCTGGGATGCTGGGATTTCGGTTTTTCACTTTTTTTTTTACTTTTAAAAGGTAATAATTTTAGGTATTATTTTCTGTCATGGCATCTAAAGTAAGTCTTAAGTTTTAAGAAAAGGGCTGATGTTCCATAAAAAAAAACCTAAGGCATTAAAAACTTTATCAATGAAAACCAACATTAGTAGTTAATGCACTTGGGCCAGAATTTCAATTTCAGTTCTTCAAAAAACATGGTATAGAAAAAAAAAAAGATCATCTGATGCTGTTGGCATGAGTTTCAGATCAAGTAATATTTTTGATTTATATTTTTATATAAAATCTCTACACTAAAAACTATGAATTCAAAGCTATGAAAGCTCATGTAAAAAAATGTTGATAATGACACATAGCATTTCTGTTTTTGGAAACTCAATACTTTTCAATTCGGGGTCACTTTCAAAGTATTTAGTATTTTTGGTAATGTGTTTTATAGAACAAAAGGTTTATCTTAGGCATAAAAATGTTTTTTGCTGTTATTATTTTAGTCATCTAAAATTTGTTGGCAATATGGAGCCATTCTTCCTCCCAGATGTGACAAGAAAAAACCACAATCTGACAAAATAATCTCAAATTTCATTAACATTATAAACTGTACATACACCCACACAAGTGTTCAGCTATATAAATAATTCATTTACTATTACATTAGATCAGTAGGTACTAACCAGATATTATTTTAACAGTCCTTCCTGTCTCTACATGTTGTACGAACAAAAAATAGCCACCTAAATTTAATTATTACTTCAAGTCTTAGGTATTATTTTGAAACTTTTAACAATAAATTAAAATGAAAATTACACCCCTTTTATTTCTTTCAAAACAATTTTATTTCCACACTTCCAGTGTGCATGTCATTAGGAAATGATTTTAATTTTAACCAGAAAAATCTGATATTGTATTAATATGTGAGTAAAAATATCAGTAACTTTTCCTGAATGAAATAACTACACCCATTGATAATCAGATACACTAGGTGTTGATAGAAACATACTGGTGAGTAATAATACTTGTAAGGGTGCAAACAGTTTATTGAGAAAACGCATTCTATTCCCTTGAATAATTCAGTTAGACTTCATGAAATATCAACTGAATTTCAAGAATTTGTATCTACATGCAACATCCATAAAATATCTATGGCATTATAGCATGTTATTTAGATAAGTTGAGTGAGCTGTAGGCTACTATACCCATTACTATATTACATAACATTTTATATCATCATACCACTTACTCTAGTAACCAACAGAAAGGACATAAATATCAGTTTATACCCAGTGGCCAGAAATAACGGCAGATAAACACCAGCAACTAGTGCCCAGAGCCAATTAACATAGTTTGGCAGTTAAATGACGACTCAGATTGCAATGAGTATAAACACTAGGGGTCATGTTTAGTTATTTAAATAAATAATGGTTGCACGATCAAGGTGGTGAGAGTAATCTACCCTTATCCAGCTGATAAAGATCTACTTAAACAAAAAAAATTTTCCACCCCATGCACCAAATAACATTGGCATACTTTCAATCTTTTAAAGCAAGTACAATACCTCTCTCAGAGCATAAGAAGGATGCCTTTGAATTAATAATGTTCATAACACATTTTGCTAGCGGCTGTTTACTTTCATTATGCAAATTCTGCACATTACAGAATACAATAAGCTCAATTATCCATTCTCTTGAGTAAAATAATACCTTTTATCATTTTCATGCAGATTGAAATATTCAAAGTACTGATTTTGCCCAATTGATAAATGCATACAAAGAAAAATTCAAATATTTCCAATTTCTTTTTTCTCACATATTTTTATATTTTTTATTTAAACACATAACATTCCATTACTTTCACGTTTCCTTTTATAAGTTTCTAATTTCAAAGACATACTGACTTTAAATAGATACACCATAGTTTTCATAATATTCCATTAAAAAATCAATACCAAAATCTTGGTGTTATGAAGTTCTTTTAGTCACATGTTTTTAAGTCTTATTTTTAAGAGATGATCACATTGATGGCATATTGTTAAAACTCTACACATGATCTTGGTAAGAAAGAAGTTATTTTTCTTTGTTAAATACATCTTAGTAAAAAAATAATATCCATGCTATTTCATATCTTTTTTAGCTAAGCATGGATGTATGCATTACAAATGTCTTCTCTATGTGATAATATAAAGGGATCACAAAAGATAAGATTGAGAAATACAGCAAGATCAAGAACCGTAGAACAATTGCTCTGATAAAAATATATTTCAACTATGGATTAGTTTTTAAAAAAAAAAAGCTTTCTCATTTTGAATATTTTTATAACCAATAACCCTTTCTGAACTTTTTAAACTTTTATTTCATTGTTCAAATTTATTAAATTCTGTGTGTATTAATTCACATTATTTTCAACAATTTATGATTTTATTCCGATTGTAAATTACAAAAAATTGTCTGTGTTCTCCAAGTTTACATTAAGATTATTAAATTCTACAAAAAATTTCAATATTTATGCTAGTATCTTGCAATTATCTTGAATATTTCAACAATTTTTATCTTTTTTATTCTCGTATTTACTCTATAGAAATCTCCATGTAATTAATTTGTCAATATGGGTCATAAAACACAATTAATTTCAAATTTTCACCGCCTGCGTCCTAAACTGCACACCCTAAAGTTTGATTGAAATGTGATTAAGGTTGCACTGAATTGCACGCAGCGAGATGCTGAAATAACAGTGTCAATGATTTGTATATTGTCTAGTTGAGATAAGAGCACTGTAGCCAGAATAAAGACGTAGGAATTGATATTATGAGGAGTTAAAATCAGATGAAACTGGCAGTTGGTATAAACATTAGTGTTGATTAGAACTCACTGACTTGATTAGAAAAGATAGAAATAATAACATTGTATATTTTTATCCATTTCTTTATTTGGATTCTATTTATAGTAGTCAGGGTAATACATTATACTTTCAGCTTATTTCCTGCTAATTGGCCACACAACGAACATTTTACAATTTCATTTTTATTCAAGATTTTAGTTTAACAAATGATTCCAGGATCTAAAATCAATTTGTTCCAAAGCCAGACATTACCCAATCCAACCAGGAGATTGTAAAAGTACAATTATATCATTCGGCAATTTTCAGTTGTTTCCGTTACCAGAATCAGACTCGGTAATGAATGGTTAATTTTTTGTCTTCTTGGGCGAGACTCTTTACATCCAGCATTTCACAATTTGTCTGAGCGCAGAATTATTGTAGGTCACAGAACTATATATAGAATACAATCTGTGCCTACAGTTCTAATGATTGGCTGCTTAACTGCTGAAGATGGGAAGGTTTATATATAACTTACAGGCTGGTTAAAGTTAGAGATATAGAACAAGGGCAATAACTCTATTCTACAATGAAGAGTGTAATGAATTGTTCAACTCTATCAGATATTTCCAGATGTAAAATTGATATTGCACTGATCACACTTTCAAAGAATGTTTAACACAATTTCTCTTATAAATAAAATATTAGGTATCATAAAATACTAATATTATAAACATTACAACAATTTCTACAAGGCAATAACTACAATCAGTGTGGATTCCTTGTTCAAATTGTACTCAATAAAATGAAGACTTAAGTTTCGACAAGACTGAGGCACGCTATATTTTATTATTCAAACTTTGACTACATGAATTCCCAGTAAATTGAGGAGAGGAAAATATGGCAGGTACACGTTGGAGCAACTTTACGACTAATATTACGTGTTGATTGGCAGCTGTTTATTTTTATTCATCGAGTTAAATACACGTGAAATAAACCATATTGTGTCAGAAAAAGGAAAGTTAAGAATTTTGACAAGTTATCATGCAGTTTGATGTTTGAAAAATCATTTTTATAAGCATATCAGGTAATCAATCTGTTTATTTATTTAAAATTAGGTTCTTTATGATTTAGTTACTAAATGTTGTCAGACATGAAGATATACACCAACATTAGAAATTTGAAGAAAGAAACTGTATGTTCATTTTTAGTATTCATAAGTGCAACTACAGGCACAGAGATCCTTCTGTGCTGGAATCCTGTTCTGCACAGTAATCAGAACTAATTTAGCAATATCATAAATTGAGCCGAGAGCAGAATTATATCTAGGAAATCAGCCTAATATGCCTTGCTTACAGTGACATAGTAAATCAAGAGAGTGACAGGTAAAAAAATTGCCCTTCATCTCCTACATACATAGTGACATATAGATAGACAGAATGCATGTGTGGAATAGTTCAATAGAAAGTTGAGGGGTGTCAGTCAGATGAATGTCTCACTATATTCAGTTTTGCAGAACCAATGCCAAAGACAGGATCATTAAGTGTCAAATTAAATATTTTACAAAAGAATTATAACCAGAACCTTGGTGTAGAAGTTTAATAGTCTTCAATTATATAAAATCAAAGGTTTTTTTTTTGTTCAAATATTGTGGCTCTTGTTTCTGATCAGATAAGGAAAAAAAGAAGAATTACCTGTAACATGTTCAGATCTAATGTAGCCATATGATTTAACATACGTAAACCAGTTATAGTGATATTGAGAGTATTGGTTGGTAGATCAGGAGGCGAGACTTCACCACGACTAGGAGCTCCAGAATGTAACAACATACCATACAGTAATGTTACTATTCCTACTAATTCAGTCACTTCAAACGTAGCTATCAGTTGAGAGGGATCTTCTAATTTCTTCTTGTCAAATACATTCACATTCCTGAAAAATATCATATATAATATGAAAGTCTTGTGGTGAACAGAAGCTATAATATTGCAATGTTAATAAACTAAGTAAGCTTACTTCTCAATATGGAAAGTAGCAGTGATGCTCAGTCAGTCAGATACTTTCTCACAAAGATATCAGTCTTTTAGTTATATTCAGTGGAATATGCTAATTTCTGGAGCATAATCATTAAAATCGTGTCGTAACCTTTTGTGTCTTTGGTTAACCTAGGCACCTTCGGATTTTTCAGCCAGGCATTTTCCATTCATTCAACTCAATTCATTCAGATTACCTATTTAGTGAGGCCCTCACTACACAATGCAGGGTGTTGTCAAGTCGCAGAAGAACGTAAAACACCATTTTATTTCTTCTAAACAATTTATCAAGGTATTCCTGATAATCTTGATTTAAATTTACTTGCAATCGTTCTCTGAGAACCCAAATTTTCAGTATTCTCAGCTTTGCGCTTAAAAGAAACTTAATCTAAGATCAACTTATTTCAGATCAAATTTCAGAAAATTGTACATTAAAATGAGTAGAGATGACTAAAATAGTTTTAATACAAGTATCAATATGATGGTATTTGATTATGATAAAAAGTAATAAATATTTCTGTAGACTGATCAAAGTAAGGTGGAGATAACAACCGTTGATAACTAATGGTAGTTGTTTAATTAGATTTCTACCTGATATTCACACCTATTCATACTCAGTAAACAATGGAAGAAATTTCAATATTAGATTGATGGAAAGATAACAAGAACATAGTTACAATCAACATTAAAGGGATTTTTAATTGTAACATGAATTTTCATGTGTAGGTTCAAATACAGCAAGGTTTATAAGATATTTAATATTGTATTCCATGGAAATTTCTGATGAAAAGGTTTTCAAATATCATAAAAAAACTTCTGCCTCTAATATTATAATATCAATAGTATAGATAATTACCCTGAAATTTTATAAAATCCCACCAGAACAATATGATGGGGTAACTAGAGGTTTATAAGATACCATGAAAACACTGTAGATTCTTTTAAAATGCTACTGTAGATTCTTTTAAAATGCTATAAGCTACATATTGATACATAATGTATGACATCAAGTCAAAGATTAAAAATTATTGGCAGTATAAAATTGATTTGTCCATCACAACAAAAACTGATGAAGATGTAAGCCACTTTTTTGTGTAAGGCAAAGAAAACTTTGTAACAGCTTCAATTAATGGTGAATAATAAACACTGTAAAATATATATAGCGCTGGTTAAAATCTTGGGTCTCTTATTACAAAAATTAATATTACAGTAACTATTCCCTTGAAATTGTTACATACTGTGAACAGTCTGAATTTACAGGAAATGAGCTGAATGTGATTCATGCCCCGCCTTATTTACCTGAATGGAGCTTAATCAATCTACGACCTCATTCTTCTTCAAGACTTATCCAAACAATCAGATATTAATTCACTGAACACTATTTGTCTAATTAACCACCATCAATTATATTAAAGTGACTATGTCTATAATTTCAGCATCAATAACATTAAAGAGACATTGCCTCAAAATTTGCCAAAAATCTGATTCAAGAAATATGTTCATTCCAATTTTTATTGGTGAATACATTCTAATTACTGTACAACAATTAAATGAATTTTACAGTAATTGGTGACTATATTGTGCTTTAATGGCCGTCACGATGTATACTTTGAATAAAGACAAATTTTCATCACAGAACCAGGGTCGGTTTCTTGAAAAAGTAACTAATATACTTTTTAAATATAATTTAGTTCTTGTCACAGGTCCTTTAAGAATAATTTTGAGTAAGAGTAAGTAAATGGTAGGAAGTAGAGTCTATTAGTAAAAGTACAGGTATTATTGATACCTTGGATATCAAGTACTGACAGAATAACAGGCTTAATGTACAGTAAGAGGATGCTTCATTGCTGCTTAGGGTTAATGAGCAATTAAAACTAGTAAAATAAATGAAGCATATAAACGAAGGATGACATCTCCAATAATGTGAAATAATGAATCAATAAGTTGTATAGTTTGATTAATACCTCGGCCTTCAGTCCCGTTTTATTCTTTTCAATTTGTTCCACGAACTGTGAAGAGGAGACAATACTTGTTGAATTATCGACAGACAGAATAATAAAATCTCAGTACGGACATTAAGCTAAGCTAGAGTGGAAACAAGACAATAGGATGATGAGGGTGACAAATGATGGAATCACTGAGATCATTCAGCTCAACAGAAGATACAAAATCACACATCAAATTACAGTTTGAAAATAATGTCAGATTTATGAGTCAAAAGATTGCATACAAATACATTTCAGTTAATATTTCAAAAATTATTGAGCTGGAAAATACCTAACTCAATAAACAAAACTTAAAATCAAACCAAAATCTTGCAAATATGGCAAGTACTTATCAAAAGAAATGAGATTTCAGATTGGAGATGGATGTTCAATTGACCAAAAGAAATATAATATATATATATATTCCAAAAAAATCATTCCGTATTTTTTCTAGTGTCAAAATCAAATCCTTCAGAGCCTTATTCTCGGAAACTAGACAAAAATAGAAGCCAGATTTAAAGAAATACAGTAATCCGATTGGATAATAAAACCTAATCTAGAATCGATCTAAGTGATTGACCAATCAATTACTGGAACGCTGATATAATTTTAAGATTAAAAGTTAAGATTTCGAGGAAAATGACCCTGCGTTGGTTGGCCTAATAATATGTCCAACTAAGTTAATAAGTAACAGAATCCCTGAAGCAGATTCAATCAGTGACACAAGTAGTGAGAAAACAAGAGTTGGTGCAATCTAAACACTGGAATGTAACAAGAGGAAATCAGAGTGTGCACAATGTTTATTTGAGAACAATGAGATTGAACTGGTTGATTATTTAGTAAATAAGACAAGGAATCAGGTAAATTCAGGTATTGGACAGCCAGAAACAGTCATGATTCTATATTGACATTAACCTGTATGAACTGATCAATATTCATCTCAAATATATCATTCATAATACTTCTCATAATCAAGTAAATAAATCAATGGTTTAATATTACATACTTTTTCGTACATGTTACATGTTATCTTGGCTTAATTTTTAAAATTCATTTTAGCAGAAACAATCTGATTTGTTAATAATTTTCAGTGTGAACTGCTCAATAACAATATTTCCATTTACCAATTTTTTGAGTGGGACTTTCATCCATAGTGAATGGGGTTTTTGTCATCCTGCAAAATTGAGGCAGGGCTTTTATCTGTCCACTAAATCAACAGCTCTTGTTGCCTTTCTCTCAATTCAAAGTTTAGAAAAATTAAGTCAAAAACAATTGTAACAAAGTTAACAATCCATCATAAAATTTGTAAATTGACTGGAAATGCATGTTTATCCACTCTAACATTATGATTTATTTTATTTTATATTTTCTGAAGTTTTCAACAATGATCAATGTTTTATAATAATATTTTCAGTATTATTAAATGTAATAAAGATTATTTAATTTAAAATATCAATCATTATCAATAATTTATACTGAATAATTTCTAGAAAATATAATTTGATAATTATAGGGTCGAAGTCGGTCAGCGAGCATTAATACACCCGAATCTGAGCTGATGGAAATCTTACTTAAAGACAGGCCAAGTGAATTATGGTTTTCCCACAATTTATCGAGATTTTCTCTCAACTAATGGATTTCACATCAGACGCTCATCAAAATCATCTCGCTTTCTTTTATGGGCTAATTTTGGACAATGCTGTCAATATTAGTGAAAGAGGTTTCTTCTCTAAGCTTCATTAGTCCATTAGCGAAAGCCGACCAAACTTCCGTTCTAATCTTCAACATTCATTTCAATACTGCCAATAACTTCAATTTTATTTTCTTTCTCTAGTCTTCTATTTCTAGAAAACACAGACTCCGAAATTTCTGCAATTTTTTTTATAATGAGGAAATTTGATGGTCCAATTCAAAATACAAAGCTAAGACCTGATGTAAAAAAATTTCAGAAAGATTTGCTGATATGTTGCTTTTTTTACCTTGAAATTAAAATGATCTGGGATCTCTATCTCAATATTCCAAATTTTTAGAAATAAAATGAAAATTTTAACTAAATATTGAATGTAATTTGGAATGTTATTGCGTGCAGCTCTTGGAAGCCAATCTAAATAATAATTAATAGCTTTAAACAAAAAAATGATAACAATATAATAACAATAACAAGAGTAACAGTTATAAAGAATGGATTATAACTCATTAACTCTATATTGGCACACTAATAACAAGGCATTAAATCTCCTGTTTATGATTTTATCTCTTTATATTTCGCTTTAAAACAGTTTTTACCTAATGATGCTTTTTAGAAATAGTGTTGTTTGAATAACTATGAGAAATTTACGAGCTCATTGTTTTAACAGAGAGTTGTCTAATGGACTGGAACAATTCTACTTAAAGAGATTGTCCTGAGTTCAAACCTTACATTACCTTATTCCATTTGGTGAACAATGATCTATTTAGTGATTACATTAAGGATATGAAAGAGTTGGAAGATGATTGTTAGAACATAGTAAGTAGAGAGTAATAGTGTATTATTTTACTATCAATAAAACCAATCAACTAGAACATTACAATCCCTGTCTAACTAATCTCAGAACAGTTAACATAGTATTTACGGTAATTGTTTTAAGTTAAAACTATTGAGGTATTGAGACAGTATTTAATATTAAACTAATTTACTTGACAATCACCAGGTAGAAATTACCTTGATCAATCTATTTCTAATGTATAAACTTAATACCTTAAACTTGTCACTGAATTAAACTCCAATAAAATGCATATTAAACTGGTAATATTGACTGGTTTCCAACAGAGATTAAAGGGGCAGTAACATATAATGAGATATTCAGGTGCTTCAATTATTTTTGCTTTATAATTATCTTTTAATTCAAAAACAGATTACTTATTTCATTTTTATTTCATTCTAACAGAATGCCTGAATTTATCTATATCATGTCAATACTATATATAATTGTAAATATATATATTTTGCCATTCAGAAAACTAGATTCAAATCCTAGATAACTAAATTCATATCTTTTGGATGACTAAATCCATATCTTTCAGAAAACTAAATCCATATCTTTTTAAAAACTTAATGTCTCTCAGAAAACTAAATTTACATTTCTTTTAGAAAACAAAATTCACATCTTTTAGAAAACTAAATTCATATCTTTTAGAAAACTAAATTCATATCTTTTAGAAAATTAAATTCATATCTTCTAGAATATTAAATCTACTAAATCCATATCTTTTAGAACACTAAATTAATATTCTTTAGAAAACAAAATCCATATACCATACCTTAGAAAACTAAAATCATATCCAAAATTAAAATGATAATCTTTAAAAAACTAATTCTTATTATCAGAAATTATATTGATATCATATAAAGCGAAAAATTCTTATCAATAAATAAGATTGATATAAGATAGATGGAAAAAAGTTTTTCCATTTTTAAAATTTGTCTTACAATTTCCTTTAAATTTGCACTAAAAGCAAATTGTGCACCATGCTCTCTAACCTAATAAAGATTTAGAAAAACAAAAGAGAATAAATTTGATTTGACAAGAAGTGTTGGTAATTGATAGACAGACTGGCGAATTTCTAGCAAGGTGAAAATGGATTCACTCCCTTGTGCCGTTATAAACAACAATCACAGTGGAATATTGGAGCAAGTTGACTCCAGGGAGAAATCATTATCCCTCTCATAATGACAAAATGTGGCAAATTATTGGTGTACAAACTTTCCAAGGTGTGAAAAATTCATTAGTCATTCTCAGTTTAATGTGGAAATTTAGAATGAATCATTTTAATAGCTCTCACTAAAAAATTCCTTTTCTATTTCCAGGCTCTATCAAATCTATTTGTAAATTTATGTGCTGTGATGTAAAAGATATTGGTAATGCTTACTACAGTTGTAGAGAAGGACAAAGACAATTAAAGGGCACTTTATTCAAGGGTGAAATTTGGTCCTGTTTTAACTACAAGATAATTGGTATTTAATCAAGTGTTATGGCCTACTGTGTTAAAGGTTAATGACCACAATTAAATATGATTCCAAATCAATACTTAGTCAATTAAAATTCTATTTAACACCTGTATAATAAAAGGTGTTCTTCCAATCATTATTTTTAACTCTGATTGAGAATATTAGATCACAGTTACCTGTAGATAATTATATCATTATTAACTTCCGTAAAATAACAGAAAATAATCTTCAATTACAACAAATAATTTTCCATGGCAGAATTTCAGGTCAGAAGAGCTTTATCAAATTACAACTGAAATATCACTGGATCAAATACTCATTGAACAGTCAGTTGCCATTTTAAATAATAAGGTAGACTTTTCATGTTTTGTTTTGTAAATTTGAACACACTAAAACCATGTGAACATTAAATGAGCAAAGGTAAACTCTTTCATATTAAAAAGGTTGTTTTGATAGGTTAAAATTCACTGCTACAAAGCTATTTGTATAAAGTAAAGCACCATCACTAGTAATTATTGATAAGGAGCATGGTTTTAATGATGATGCTTATTACATTGAGGACAAAATTCAAACTTTGCATTATCTGAGATAGATTGTACCTAAATGATTCTACTCTCGAGATTTTTTCAGTAGAGAATGTTTTTCTTCAAAATATGGAAAATATTGCATGAAGTCAACTGGTATAAAATCTATATATTACTAGAGAAAAATGTGGTGTTAAAATGTCACATATTGACCGTAGCAGACCTTTATTCTGATGATATTTTACTTTCCAAGCATACTGTTGATTTTAAACTAACTCTCCTCCCACTAGTACCCTGGTGGTCTTCACCAATAGTAACAAGCTGTACAGTCCGTACTGAAACTTTTACTGTTAGTTTAATCTGCCCAAAGTATGAATCAAGTTGAACTAGCAGAGAAATGAGGTTCGGAGAAAAAAAACTCATTTTAAACTTAATTCATTTGAAAAAGAGAGCATGACTGGTCTCTGAAATAAAGATATTTTTCAACAGGCTAGCATTTCATAAATTTTTTTGATTTTGCTAATGGTTTGATATAAAACCCTAGGCTAAATTTGTAATATTAAGAGGTAATCTTATGAAATATTCAGAAGGCATTTTAAGCTAAAGGGTTATGGAACAGTCTTTTGTCAAGAAGGCAAATCTGATCCACACTCTGTCTGTCCTAGATGTTTACTTTTTAATTTGCAAAGGTTACAGAAAGGCAGAAAAAAAACTAGAATTTCCAATGTTGTTTATGTTGGTTTTTGATGTTAGATCATGTTCAGTGTATTGTATTTATATTTTCTACAATATTCTGTTCATTTGATTACTTTTATGACATTTAAATATCACAAGCTACCAGGGGGAGTAGTTGTTACTATTTATGGACAGAACAGAGAGCAGAATCTGTCATTTTCATACCTTTCACTTGAGATTTCATACAAATATATTACATTCTTACCTCCTAAAACCTATATTGACTTATTCTCTACTTCTACATGTGAGACGACCAGCAAACTCTCTATTTTGATTCAAATGAAACAAAAATATCCTAGTCAAAAAGCTTATTAAATTTGCGCAGGACAACAACAATTGCTATATCATTAGCGAGGCGGGCCACATTCCAAAATACCTGAAGCCTGGTTGAGCCAGTATACAACTGGGTTGCTCAACTGGGAACCCTTTCTGGGAATTAAGCTTTTGCCTGTTTTGGGTCTAATTATTCTGCAACATATTGAGCTAATTAAGACAAGTCATTGAAATCAAAATATAAGAGAAGATACAGCTATGGCCAGTATCCAAACAGTCTTTGGAATCAAAATAATTTGAAACAACCTGTCGAAATAAAATGACCACAGGCACACCAACCATAATGGCTGACCTTTAGATCTTGTTTCAAAATATCCAATCTGCTTATCTACAGATCTCTATCATTCTAAAACAAGTACCGAAGTACCTACAGATAAAATAATGTTGGTATGAGAAGAAGTCAAAACAATGATTATTGGGGGTGGGCTGGTGAATTGTTGATCAATGACTCCCAAGGGAGAGAATAACAGGCATAACAGGACTAGATACACTTAATAAATAAATATCTAGACTACAGACTACAGTAATTCAACATTGATGACTACCACCTGATATATACAGTTACTGTATGTTACTTATGAGCTGCGGAATCATCTTCTGGTGAACAGTTCTTTAATATCATAGAATATGTTATACGCCTGACCTAGTGCAAGTTAAATGAACAATGAAAATTTTCACACGGCATATTTCCTTAATGCCATTATTTACTTAAAATTATGATTCTGTACTTACCTTTTGGACATGAATTTCGACATAGCTACTAGAAGAGCTAAACTTTGTTGTAAGAATTCAGCTGCTTGTTTATCATCATCTATTGGACCACGTACACTGGAGAAAAACTGACGTAATTTATCTATTATACCAACACTTATCAGGTAACTAGAAAAAAAACAGATTACTTATTAATAAAGAGAAATTAACATCATATTGTTTTAAGATTATATAGTAAGTGTGCTTCAGTTATTTATCTTACAAAAATATTATCCAATTGGTAATAATTAAGTAATGATATTAATGAAACTTTAAGTCTAAAATTCAGATGTATAGAATTTCAAAACAAAATTTAATATGAATATAATTTATCAAAGCAAATTTCTGTTTTCAATATCAATATTGCCTAAAAAATTCCGAATAAATTTAAATATCAATTGAAACAATTTATCAAATCAAATTAATTTGTGTATTTTGAATATGAAATCAAATTAATTTAAGAATTTTGAATATAGAATTGTATTAAAGCTGAGGATCATATTTGAATAAGAACGTCTAATCTATTATAAATGAAACAGCAACATAATCAGACAGTCAACTAACACAGGCTTGTTACATTAAACAGTTTAATATTTGATGTTGAAGAGAAAATCTTGTAAGTCTCTTTACTGTCAATAAGCTAGATCTTGTTCTAATTAAACTCTACCAAAGTTTCACTTGTTATGATAATAAAGAGGTTGAAATTAAAGAGATTTAGTTTACAGACGTATTATCAAGTAGAAGAGATGTATGAAGATGATTAAGAGAGCAAGTTAACAAAGAAAAAGATAATAGAGGTAATTATGCTCTGTCACACATCGCTCTGGACTAGAATCACAAATACTGAGATCGTGACAATCACAAGAGCTATGAAGGATCATCAAGCCAACATTACAGAAGGCACTTCCTCCAAGACAACTATGTAACCATGTCCGCTTTCCATTTCAGGAATTGCTTCATCAAAAGCTGTCCAAATTTCTATTTGAGATGGCCTCGATGACTGAAAGGACTTGAATAGAACACACACACCCATGAAGAAGTTAATTTCAAGAGCATTGAACCAGCATATTCTAAAGACTTTGCCATTCATCGAGAATGAAAAGTTACAGGAAATTACCAACGCTAAGGTCATGGATGTTAATACTAATACATGTTTCAATGAAGAGTTCTTGTGAAAGGGGGAGATAATCTAGTAATTATATTGGCATCAGGACACACATTGAAATCTTCTTAAACCTTGACTGATTTTATTGTAAAGTTAAATTAGAATTAAAATGTCAATGACTAATTGACTCTAAATACTGGAAATTGATTCTTATAGAATCTACTAAGAATATTCACCAATCACTAAATCTTTTTGTGGAACAACATAGTCAGTCTTTAAACATGGACCGTATATTTGACAAAGACAATTTCGTTTCTATGCATCTAGTTTTATATTTAATTCTTCTGCACCTTATGTCACCTTAAATATTCCATCTTCCTTGAGCAAAATATCTTCTTCAATTGTAATTTCTATATTGTAATATATGACACAAAGGTTTAAAACAGAGTTTTATCAACTAATTGGGCTAATGAAGATGGTGAACGCCAGTGGTGGGGTCAGCCTTCCGAGACTAGGGGTAAAAACAGGGGGCCGACTGACTCATTGGGGATAACTGCTAAGGCCAAATTCAAATTCATGGAGTGTCTCAGAGGGTTCTCTCAAGAAAATTTTAGAAAAAAAGAATTGATTTTGTGCATTCTGACACATATTTTGAAGAAAAAAGGTAGACAATTAGATTTGTTGAAAATAAAGTGGGGGTACTATTGGGGATGCAAACCCATTTTCTAGGGGGGCAAATTATCCCCCTGTATCGCCACTGGTTAACGCCATGCAGTTTGACAAAAACTTTGCAAGGGCAGTGATATTAGCCTTTAAGCGTTATATATGTATAATAATATTAATATGTCATGCTGACAGTGTAAAAACAGTTCTTGAAAAGTGTTAAGTTTCAAACTGTGTAATCACTCATTTAAATACATTAATATCATTTTGTTTTGAGCAAACGATAATTATACAGGGGCTTCTTTTGTGAAAATATTCACTTATTTGCAATTATAAATACTTTGTCTAGTGAAATAATTTTCATTCTGGAAGTAAATCCACTTTATTCAATGTCTACTGTATATAATTATACCTTATAACAGTCTGTTCAGACTTATCTCTCTTATACGCTAGCATACATAATCTCACCCATCTTTGATACGAAAGGATTAAAAATTGACAAGAGTTCAAAGACAGTGATTGAGATATTACGGAAATTAGCCTGTGGTGAAGGTAATTTAAATATCAACGTTAATACAAGCCCCTACCCCCGGGCTATAACAAGCGGTGGTAGGCTTGAAACCAAGACAAGGTTATTTCCTGATTAAATTTGTCCCAAGTAAAATTTCACGATGAAGTGATAGCCAACATCCGTTAAAATTCTAAAAAAGCAGAAAATTTGTCTGGAATGAGGAGTAATTTGTTATGAGAATGACAAAAAACTGAAATAAATGTCTTCTAGAATTTCAAGCATACTGACAATATAATAACATAGAAACTATATCAGGGCTTTATAATAACAATAGTTTAACATTGATACTGACTAGTTAATCTTATAGTTAACATCTAATATATTATTATTGTAAAATAACACCTAATCTATTCAACAATAATAATACAACTTTATCAGAAAATATTTAATCATTCATTCATTAATCAACTAGTTTTTACTTCATCTATACCTTTGTTTAGGATATATAATTTCAAAAATTACCATTCCTGATTTTTCTTACTGATATATATAATGTACATGCACATGTATCTGATTATTCTAGATGGTAAACTAGACTTTTCAAATTATTTTTACGCAAAGTGGAATATTTGTTTAAGAATAGTATTAATAGATTGATTTAGCTTGGATCAAAATTTAACCAAAAGCATACATAAAATTTCTAGCTTAGTCAAGCTTCTGTCAAAATATTAGGCAGACTAGCAGAAAACTTAATATTTTCAAATAAAAAAATGAAATGAATGGAGTTTTACGTCCTACTTAATATTTTCAAGAAATTAGATACGCAGAGATTTATTTAAACTTTTATATGATTGGTTAGAATCACCCACATGACAAGATTAATTCAGACGTCATGGCCAGTGCTTTTATGGGTAACCTGGTGCTGTCTGTCACCCCCTATCAATAACAAAAAGCTCAAAACATACCCCTATATTTCTATATGATTAATAGTCATGCTGAATTCAAAACAAAAACACAGTTTGAATTCCACGAAAATTGAAACCAAACTGAGACAATTAATTCTATTGTTTTGATTAGGAAGTTAATTAATCAATAGAGTGAAATATGATATATCAACTAATTCAACCTTGTCAATAACTCTCTGAAACCATCAGTAACCTAACCCTATTTAATATTCACAGATCATTGTTTTCAATATTCCAATTAATTTCCAATAAAACTATACATTTATTTACTGATAAAACATCATTTTTATAGAATTCCCAGAGCAAAGTACTGGAATTATTTATGATATTATATTACATTTAAAAAATGTCCACATCCTCAATTATTTTGCCAAATGGTTGTACATTTGAAGGGAGGTAACTCCTTTTATAATATATATATCCAGACCACACAAATTTCTCCATCTCAGTTACATGCGCCAATTTAATACAAACCATGCCATATTTGTTTTAGTAACCACAATATACTATCAGGATCACAGACAAACACAAACATTGAGAAACTGCTTTTTAGATCACATGAATCTCACAGATCGCCAGAATTATTGCCAAATAAAAATAACCAGATCCCGTGATATTCTTCAACCTAAATTTTATCTCATGGAAATGTTGACAGAGGCATAAATCAACGTTTCATGTATAATAAACACACATACCTGATAAAATCATTGCCTCTATTAAGAAAAGCATCACCACTACTACTCATTCTTTCTAATGATGCCTCACTACAGGTTGTACTGGGGTTGTTTTTAGCTAGTCGTGTTAAGATGGTAGCTATTAACTGCATCAGGTTCCCAGCAACAGGATCAGAGGGTAGTTTCTGTCCTCCTGACCCTACTGGTGATACAGGTCTTACAGGTTGATCAGGTATTATCATCTAGAATAACAAGATTGATATACTTAAATGTCTTACATAAGGTATGGACTCCTGTTTTAACTCCTTGTCTGTTGTTTTTTTTATCTCAAAAATTTTTTCTCATTCTTATTTCATAGTTTCTATTCAGTTCACATGCAATATTTTCCCTCTTGAAGTTACTCAGCTTGGGATGAGGTACTATAATAATGATTACAACAGCACTATTGTACTGTTAATATTGTGATATAAATGTTGTTACTTACAGACAGTCTATGTATAAGATGATCTACCAATGATCCTATTTTATTACTAAATAACATATAATGACTGGTTTCATAACTTCCTTTACATGCTATACGATATACTTCACAAGCATGACTTAATAACCTGAAAACAATGACAATATAGTCAACTAACTCCAAATAAAATTCTTATGCAACTTATCTTATATTCAACCAAGGCTTAAAATTCCATTACACTCAACTTAAAAAGAATGATATCAGATTGTGAATGGCAAGTGTAGTCACCTGCAGAAAAAAACATGTAACAAAACATTTATGATCTTCATCAGACTATTTGCAGTTAGTTTGAACAGAATAAAAAATCTAATGAAGAATCAGTAAGGATAGTGATAGGTATCTAATAAAGATTTGTTATTTACCTAGTAGGTACCACACAAGGTAATGTTGGTGTTGAATCATCTATTGTAGCTAATATTTTAGATAGGTGTGTCATACAACCTAAAAACCGGAAATTATTCATATCAGCTGGTACCTAAAATAATATATAAATATTTCAGAATATAGACTGACAGAATAGAACGACATAAAAAATAATTGTCCAAAAAATTAATTCTAGACTGCAATATAAATGCTCTTATTACCTACACCAATTTCAAAATTACCTCCAGGTAGAAATCCCCTGCGACAAATAAAGCCAAGATAACTGCTAGCCAGCTGAATACAACAAAATCATATGAGAACTAAGAGTGATCAATAGAAACAAGATAATACTGGTATATCTTTCTTTTAGCTAGTCAAGTTTCAACTAGAGTGTCCTGACTCAAAGTTCAAATTCTCAAGAAAGTTACCTTTTTCTCTAAAATTCTGCCAAGTTCTCCTATGGCTCTATCAATAGCAGAAACTTTATTCTGTGGCCACGGACCAGTATCTGATGACTGACTAAATTTACTCATATCTTTTACAATCTTTAATATTCTAAATAAGAGACAATATTAACAACAATTACTGAATTTTTCTTGCCTTTCTGAGCAAAAACCTGGTAAACAATTAATGTTTTAAAACCATTTTCATTATGATTTTTATACTTAGATGTTCAAAATTAATATATTTTTGCTTTATCTTAAGAATATTTCAAAAATCTTAAACTTACTTTGCTTTATGTGTAGAATCTTGAACTTGTATTTTATTAGATAAGGCATTCTCATATTCTACACCTCTGAAACAAGAAATATGATATATTTTACAAACCTAAACTTCATTTTGAGACATTTAACATTAAACTTAACACAGTGATGATCATAGTTTATATCTCACAGTATGAAACTCTAAATAACAACATGTTTCAGGTTCTGTTTCAACATTTCTATACTGAAAACAAGCAATAAATATAGGCAATCAACTCACGTAAATAAATGTGTCAATTGTGTGAATATAAAATTACCTGGTAATCATCCTGACTCGTAATTTCTTATATCGTTTTTTCATGGATTTTTGACGTTCTTTCTCTGTGACTAGTTTAGGATGATTACTATTTTCTGGTACATCAACTATATTCTCTAGGTTAAATTTCTCCTGAAATAGTAGTGAATGTTATGGGAAAATGTCTACGAGCATGATCTGTAGATGAAAAGGGATTTATAAATAACTATTTTTAAACCTTGATAAAGAGAGAGCACTTTTGCCTTTGAGCCTCCATCACATCTAAGAAGTTGAATGAATCAAATTGCAGATATGGTAATAAGAATATATTGTCACTCAACATGTGGTAGATATATCACTTACTATATCCTCATTAGACATGACCTGACCATTATGATTATCATGTAAAGCTTGTTGATGTTTCTTTCCTCGTAAATGACTTAATAAATATACTTCTGATGGAATCTGGAAAATAAAATATTCATTTTGTAACACTCTTATACAATATTTATTGAAATGATGCAAGTTAATTGTATATGTAATGTGATGAAATTATGAAATGTCGTGACTTCATAACAAAAATTCAGAAATTTGACAGGCTTCATGACCATTATAAATTTGTATCAAACTTTTCACTTACCAAAGTATTACAAATTTTACAGAGTTTTTTCTTATCATAAAGAGTTAATTGTGGGGCATCATTATGATCTTCAGTAGAATGTTTATAGATGGTCATTTCAAATGCTTTCTCTCGGATCTGTTGTAATACTTCTAAATGGCGTTGACTACTTTCATCTTGCTGTAAACATAGGTTAATCAACATTTCATATTATTAATAGGAATAGGATCAATAATTATATATAATACACAGTTTCACAAGAAAACTTCAGCTTAACTCCTCTAAATGCCAAAAAAACTGAAAGTCTTCAAAGAATATAGGAAATATTTCTCAAGAAAATTAAAACCCCTATCCATCTGGTTGTGGCAGAGAGATATAAGTAGTAAGGCTTTTTCAGAGAGGATTTTGGTTGCCTGAAATCAACTGGAGATATCAAGAGAATAATTACTGATACTCCTACTTAAAATCACAGCAACTGAAATATTTAATTCCTTTTAAAGATTAAACAGATGATTATACCTTCTGTTGTATTTTTTTCTGTAGTTCTTGTATATGAGCTTCTTGTTGAGCATTTAATGCTGCCAATCTTTCCTTTTGATCCCTGTAATTTATATCAGGTGGCATTAGAATTTCATACAATATTCTAACAATTTATGTCATCAGTAGGCCTAAAATCTTCCTATTGCAGGTAAGAGGGGCTGACATGGAAAAAGTATCTAGTCGTTCGGATGGGACAATAAGTAATGCTACTGATTGTGCACCAGGACTGCTGATTTGACACTATTTTCTGCTCATGACTGATGGGGCAGCTCAAATGACGGTCAATATCCTCTATCTGACATCAAGTATAGGTTAGCCATTACATGTCATTCAATGTCTGACAACTCTCTAATGGAATATAAAGCCATCAATCACTGCTTGTCATTACAACTTGATTACCAACCTGATAATCTGATAATCAATGTGCACGTTAAAGATCCCTCAACAGTTTGAAATCGAAAGAGAGCAAGCTAATGCTGCTGTCCTGATATTACCCTCATTGCACCCTGCATGGTGTTTCCTGTCTTCATTAGCCCAAAAGTAGTATATAAAACTCTTCCCATGAAAGGCTGAAGTTATATGTCAAACACTTTGCCTCATCCAAAAATATAAGGTGTTGTTACACTGTCTGAACAACTCACTCTTATCAATGGAGGTCAGTTTCAAGCTGGGCTTCTGCCTTGAATAAGTAAATAGGCTGTATGAAAACTGCCATAAACCAATGTATTTAATTACCTTTCTTTAGCTTTTAAAGCTTCATGTCTTTCTTTCTCTCTCTCTTCTCTATTATGTACAAATTTAGCATCTTTTTTCTTCCTACGTTCTAACATTTCTACTAATTTAGCTTTTCTATCAGCTTCTAAAGCTTTCCTTCTTTCTTCTACTGCAGCTTCTTTAGCTTGTTTTTCTTCCATTTTCCTTATTCTTTCTTCCTATATTTGATGAAAATTAAGATTAAATCAAACTGAAGGTCACAAGAGAGATGTAATGAACATCAGACTTTTTAAACTTATCTTAAAAATGGTGTGATCATATGAAAATATACAAATGCAACCTACAGCTTGTTCTTTCAGTCTGGCCTCACATTCTTGATGTTTAGATAGTATATCATGTCTTTTATTCTGAGCTTCTAAAGTATTAATAAACGCTATTTCATTAGCCTGAAAATATAAAACAATAACTTAATATAGTGCATTCCATTGTATTTTTTTCAATTAGTACCGTAAATTACTATTCTAGTTGATAGTATAACTAACTAATTGGTAACTAATACATCTGGGAATTTAGTCCACATGCTAAATAGTTGAACTGATAAATGATTTCTTATCATAAACACAATGAAAGCAATAAATGATCAAATGTATGAATTAGGTGATATGGAAGATAATCTCCTATAGAAGCACTGGCCAGGGTCACAACAAGAAAAGAAATTTGACATAACTTACATCTCTATCAAATAATATGTATAGATATTCTTGCATTAAAAATGTAAAAGAAAGAAACCAACCTTGGCCTCCTCATCTCTAGCTTTCATAGATTTTAATCTTAGTTGACTCTGTCTCTTCTCCTCAGCTCTCTGTAATTTTCTCTCTATTGTATCTTTTCTCTGTTTAATCAATTCTTCTTTCCACACTCGTACTTCTTCAACCTGTATCAGATCAGAAACATTAGAACATTATAAACACTTTTACTTAAAAACATAGAAATCTTGAAGATCATAGGAAAATAGGTTACTGAATTTTCATTTTGAGAAAATTGCATGAATAGAATTAGATGATGAGATTGTAGAATTTACAACATTGGGAGTACCTTTTTAGAAAGCTCTCTCAATCTTTCAGATTTTTCATGTTTTAATTTTTCTCTCAATTCTTGAGCTTTAGCCTGTTTTTCTTCATGTCTTCTTCTTGATTCAGTTGGTGACCTAAAAAGATTCAATATAATATAACTAATTTCTACCAATTTCTTCTCAAAAGTCCAGGGTGTGACATATGTGGGTCCAAGTAGAAATATCACACAAGTATTAATACAAGGTTACTAGAGTCAATGAATATAAGAACAAAGAGTTGAAGTACATCATATACATGGTTAGATATGTAGTTTCATTACATCAATTGGTGCTCCTACCTTTTTCTCGATGGAGAGGAAAGTTTTTCGTGCATGTGAACTCCATGACCTGGTGTTCTTTCTTCAGCTTCTTCTACCATATCACTCCATGATTTATTACCTCTTTCTACAATAATAATAATTCTTATATCACTGACTTTCATCAAAGTAAATCTATAGTGAAAATTCTACAAATTAATAAGTATCATTAATCATAAATAATACTTAATAACACAATTTAAAAAAGGAGTTTGTCAGACCATGGATGGTGGGTGTTAACCTACAGTAAAAAACATAAAACATCTCCATTTATAGATGAATTGTTTACCTTCATATTCAGCTTCCATAGCTTCCCAGTTAATGGTGGTTTGAGATGATTCAAATGAAGTTGTAGTTTCCTACAAGGTAAAATATAACATTATAATCTCCAATACATAGTAATTCTAATATGATGATAATACTAATATTACAAAATAACAATATCATATGATGAAAATAAAAAACTAAATCGTACATTGGGATTACTTTTATCAACAGCCTATGATTTCATGTTAAATTTCTTTACACGACAATGGGGCAACTAATACCAAGCTCTGACATCTCACAAACCAATAGAATACAACATTTCTACTCACTGTTAATTCACTTTCAGTATCCACCTCTATTTCAGTACTAGCTGTTCTAGCTAACTCTTTTAACCAAGATTCTTCTTCCTCTATAGCTGATTCTAGAGCTCTCTTCTGTTCATCTTCTAGTTGAGATGATAAACTTTCTTCAGCATCTTGAGCACAAGCTAAAGCCTACAATTGATAACAACATTTTGTAACATCAATCAAGTAACACTGACAGGACAGAAATAATGCAGGCATGATATATCAGTGCATCAATGTATTGTGATACGACATGTCACGATACATGTATCGTATCGCGACATTGTGTATCCATACTTGACGATACCTTTTATTCCGTAAATAAGTGGGTTTTTTTTTTAATGAAATTGTTAGAAACGTTTAATAAGACAGTGGATGCTAACCACTTCTATCAACTACATTACCAAATATCACAGTTATAAAGTTATAAATTTTATATAAATATATTTAGAAACTTTCAAGATAAAATGATTATTTTTATCACATTATCCCATATCATATGTATCGTATGGTATCATGACATGATCGATGATACCCAGAACTAAACAGAAATATAGTTATGCTTCAAATTAGGCCTTTGTAAGGAAATTGGAATTGAGTGCAAATGAAATATGTCATACATTTAGGCATCATATTGATCTTTTGAAGACAAGCAACTTCATTTTACTATATTTCATCCTAATTTTGAAGCCTTAAAATAAACATAAACTTACTGTGTCCAACTGTTCTTCAAAGGCATCATCATCATTATCTTTTCCTTCAGAACTTTGTAAGGAGGTTTGTGAAAGAGCAGCTTTTAGAGTATTCATAGTGTTTACAATTTCATTTGGATCTTTAGATAACTTCTTGCGTTCCTTCTTTCCTGTGGTCAGTCTGGATATCCCTGTCTTAGATTCAGCCTTGGTATTGATTGGTGAAACTCGTTTCGGGGGTTTGGATTCCTTGACATCTAATTTTTCTTTCGATGTCCCTTTTTTATCCTTTGGACTAGGTTTAGAAGATGCACTAGTTACAGTTGACATAAATGTTTTTGATTTTGAAGAGTCTTTAGGTTTGGGACTACTAGTCTTTACATGTTTGACTGTTGGTGCATTGGGAGATTCTTTCTTGCTCTCTGATTTCTTCTCTGGCAAATTGTTTTCTTTCTCACTGTCTTTCCATTTTGAGTTTTCAGGTAGTTTGGGGTCTGTTTCAGATTTATTGGGTTTCTTCTGATTTATATTTTGTTTTGATTTTGATTTTGTAGATTCTGGGACTGATTTTGAGCGAATTAATTGAGCTTTGAGACTATCATCTGATTTTTTAGGAATAAGATTTTCTAATGACTTCTGAGATGGAGAATTTTTAGCCTTGACTTTACCTCCTCGCTGTACTGTTTCCCAACCATCAGCATCTCCTATAAAACAAACATTCAAATAAAATTTAACCATATCCATTAACCATTAAGTTATATCTCAGGCTTGAGCCAAATAGACAGAGATAAAACAGTTTTAATCCATCTCTTTGGGAACTCTTTCAATATCCGAAAATAAAAAAAAATTCTTCTAGGGTAATTGACAATTAAATTTTAGTCTTATAAGCATGTCACTTACCAGGCTCTGATGAAGTATCAGAACATTCTGTTAAACTAGAATTGGAGGGATGAACTGGTTTGGGTTGACAGATAATACCTTTAACTTTATCGGCCCAGCTGTTTCCAACAATATTTGGTGGACACCTGAAAAATAAAAACAATTGTTGTCTAACAAGCAAATATCCTATCCTCATCAACAATCCTCTTCATCCTTGCTGGGGCCTCGAAAAAGTTTGCTTGGCTTCTTTCCCTCTAATTGAAGCAGTTCTTTGAACACAGTTCTTAGCAACAAACAAATATAAATTCTGTAATATTTCTTGAAAGTAAGGTCTTCAAGCTGTGTAGAATCAGATTTAAGCTTGAAAATACAGCAGAGATGTAACTTTCATAATGACAACTTGATGGTAGAAAGAAGTCATTGTACTTACTGGTTGGTACCATTAGCTGTGTTTTTCTCCTGTGTATTTTGATTATCCCGTTTATTAATACTAGAGTTTTTAACACCAGACTTGGGTTGAGAGATAGATGTACTCTGTGATGGTGATGTGGTAAAATTTAAAACTCTCTGTGCAGGACTTGGTGAACAACGACCTTGAACTGGGTGGTTGGCCATCTTACCAGGTGACATTTTACGAACCTCCCATGCTATTGCTGTTGGTCTATTGCATGGAGAAAAGATTATAAAAAAATCATATGCTACATAAAAATAAAGTTGTGAATACAAGAAGCTTCTAATGTCATTGTAACACAATTTTTAGAAAAGTACCTATTTCTGGTAATCACATAAAATCTTACATTGAAGAAATCAAATAATACTGAGAAGGCACCAAATTTACTGAATAAACGTCACTAATATAATTTTTGACTGATCTTATAATTGGCATAATTCTTAAAATCTAGCTTGATAGATTATAAGCACAAATTTTTCAATTTACCTGTCACCATCCTTGGCAGATTCTTCAAAAGCTCTTAACATATCTAATCTTTCTATTAACAATCTAAAATCTCTGGCACTCTGATCTAACATCATTATTACTTCCTGAAGAAGAAATGTTCATAATCATTTGTATCTATCTTCCTTGAAATGCATATACAAAGGAAAAAAAAACCTTATAAATTTAACCAAGTACATGAAATTAAATAAGAAACTCATTAAAATACTTCATCAAGGAGAATATTTTACAATATGAAAACCTTCAAATCATATATCCATTCCCTGTTAGGCAAAATTAGAATTTTCATACAACAAAAACACACAGATTTTGCTCTAATTTCCCCTTTATTGTTATTGGGACATACACTTTTAGAAAATATTTTTACCTTGCATTCCACAACACTTTCATCTTGTTCACAAGTTTCATAAATTGCATCCACAGCTCTTTGTAAATTATCAAATAAAAATTTCCAATATCGAGCACGCAGGTCTGGTTTACGTCCACTGTCAGACTTAGGAGATTTAGTTAAATCACCAGGCATTCTGTTGGCTAAATGAGAATCCACTGATAAAACTCTTCCTCTAGGAGATAGGTTTCCTGTCATTAATATATGGTTCACATCTTGACTAGATTTTCTAGTCTGTCGTAATAATGATCTACCTGAAAAATCACAAGACCCAATTGAAGGGGAGAATGTGGCAGCTTTCAAATAACCAAAATTGTTTAAAAAGCCTCTCTTTGGTTCATAGATATATGGTTTTTCCACTAAGGTTAACAGAGTGTAATCCTATTTCAATAATCTTCATAACATATTTCATTTCAAGTTATTAAAAGTAAATCGTCACTTCCTGCTTTAATAAGACCAAATCATGCACAATCTGACAAACATAAAATGTTTTCTCTAGTTTCCATCCTTTAATCAAAAACATAAATACAACTTACTGGACCGTTCAACATGCGTTGCTAAGGGAACTGAGTATTGAACTAAATTTCTGGCAGTTCTGCCCTCTTCTTGTACAATTTTTCGGACTCTGTCATAGCTGGTCATTCTCTACAAATAAAATTTCAATTCATTCCTATCCCTGGGCTAACTCCATGGTTGCTACTTATTTCAACATATAAAATATACAAACTCTCTGTTTTTTTTTACTTCATAACTCACAAGACTGTAGTGATTCTTGAAGTTGCAATTCAATACACTAGACAATACTCATCAAATGACACAATTTACTCCAATGACAAAATTAATGGCAATAAAAGACTGTGAAAGAAAATTCAATCTTCTCAATTTTTAATTAAATTTAGTTAAATCCATGACAAAAGTCATAACATGCACTTGAAAATTTTGATTAATTAGATCTAAATATCTTCATTCAAGTTTTCAAAGCAATAAAAAAATTTAATCCATAATTGCCTGTTCAGGTCAGTGCAAGTTTTCTTAATCTGTCAGGTGTTCACATGCCTACCAAGCACTTGTTTGCATTCCTCTCTAACACGAGCCTAACCTGATTTCTGGTAAAATTCCAAAGTTCAGTAGAACTGGAAGAACAACCTGAACCAATTCTAATGTTTGTTTAAGTCCTAGATTTTCATAAATAAGTAAATTTCTCGAGAAAAGCAAACAAAACTTACCCCGATGTTGTGCGAGTTTTTAGAGCGATGATTTGAAGATAAACCATTCGTCAAGTTTCGATACTGATTTTCGGTGTTATCTGACCGAGATTTTGGGCCCAGACTATATCTCTTTCTTCTAGATTCACTCATCGTGGTGAACGATGTATTTAGGCTAAGTTTAGATCGGCAGTTACTCAGACATGCCACAAATAAATATGATATCAGTTATCTGTTATCCAGGTCAGCCTAAAAATATGGCGGCCTATGGCCTATAATCCACTTCCGGTGTCAACATTGGTTTCATACTTTATGATATTTACAAATTTAAGACAGACAGAAGTATAAATTATATAAAGTGTTGTGGTTATTAACTCATATGGTTGGAAGAGAGAACCTGTTTCAAATATCAATAGCTGTCATCGTCCGAGTGGTCTAAAATCTATTCAGAATTTCTTTCCTAAATTTCAAAGGGACCTAACTCGATTTGTTGTGGTTACCGCATTTTGAGGTAAATAAAACCATAACCATTACAGACTACAATGGATTGGAAATTACTTCCCTTTAAACCACATTTTCATGCATTTTTTTTTCTGCCATGTCCCTTGTGCCCTCTTTACTTATTGACGTAGCCTGGATTTCATTGATGAGGGTGCCATCCGAGCATGGCACCCAATGAGTTTTGTCAGCTATTCATGAGAGCGTTTCAATTACATGCGTGTTTGTCCTTAATAATATCCTCCAGATTCCAAATTGGTTTACTCCCATATCTCCCCTTCCAAATTGGCCCCCAATCTATTCTCATATCGCCCTTCCCTTTCCTTCCCTTTTTGATTTTGGCCCTTTCCCATGTTGAATACTTTTCATATCACCCCATAGGCCCTAATCCCAATTCACCATTTGCTTCCCTAGATCCAACAACAGTGTAAAAAGATTCAGAATGATAATATTTATTTTTCTTATTTCCTAATTTTAATCATTGAATTTCATTGAGGAAGATTTTCCAGTGTCAATATGAAATTTTTTGCCTTCACCAGGAGGAGGTGTGAAACCAAAACCAATTCCTTTCACTGAACCTAGTCTCATAGAGAGAGCGCTATCATACTGAGCCTGCAGATTTTTATTTAACTTTTCTTGTCCTTCCTTATTTAAAGCATTATTACCTCCAGATCGATCGATAAGTCCTCCAAATAATTTTCCCTTTGGCTTTGTCACATCTTTTTTCATTCCACCTAACAAACGGTGGAACTTTTCTGTTCTATTCTTATCTTCGAATGAAGCTGTAGACCACTGTCCTAAAGTTGTGCTATTTTCCAATGGATTATCATTAGAAGACATATTATTATCATTGCTGCAGTTCGAAATATCCTTGTCTTTTGATTTTTTTCTTTTCTTCTCTTTTGGTTTTATTTTTTCAGTCTGATTTCCTTCACCAATTTGAATATCAATTTCATTCTGGACACCATTCACAATTTCTTCATCTTTCTTCTTCTTATGTTTCTTTTTCTTATTAGCTTTCTGTGCTTCTTCAAAATGATCTTCAGCATCACTTGGTGGACTTATTGACTTGTGTCTTTTCTTTTTCTTGGGCTTTTTCTTAGTTTCAAGATCTTCTCTTTCACAAATGTCTTCAGTTTCGATGGGAGTAATTTCAGAATCACGTTTCTTCTTCTTTTTCTTTTTCACCGTGTGATCAGCTTCAGACACAATAATCGACACATCTTCAGCACTGTTAACACACCCTTCACTATCATTTCGCTTCCTTTTTTTCTTCTTCTTTTTTATTCTGAGCTCATTCTCCAAGCTTGATGCTGCTTCACCATTAAGTTTGTCACCAAATTCCTCCCTATCTCTCTTTTGTTTCTTTTTTAATTTTTTTGTACCATTTTGCAACTCCTTGTCAACAGAATCAACTTTGTTTGATTTACCAAAAAATTCCTCAAATTCATTTTCTTGTTTTTTCCTTTTATGTTTCTTATCCTTCATTTCTAAAACCTAGAAATAAATCAGTAATCAATTATCAACAATAACATTATCACTAACTGATTGATGACAAATTTCAATTTTTATGAAAAAAAGAATGTAAACTCCAAAATACTAGCCTACAGCGAGAGTGAAAGTAACGAAAATTAAAGACAATGGAAAATTAAAGACAATGGAAAACAATTATTTGGAAATTTGATTTTAGCCTATACTATAGAGAGATTTTCAGTAGCCTGTAGCATACTAATGTGAGTCCATTTTCTATCTTCCTTCCCTAAATAGTCTAGCCCATACTATTCTATGGACTGGGGATGAAGTTTATTCAAGAGCAAAATCATAGCATGGAATTTTTTGGGATCCGAAGACATTGTGAGTCAAACGACATGTCATTGAATCCAGCGTTAGAGCTAGCAGAAATCAGATAATGCATTGTGCAGTGGTATTTATTATTTTGTGTAGTAAACTGATAAACTGTGAAAAATAACCGTACACACGTGTGAATGTTATTATTCTTGGCTGCGATTGACATGACCTTTCTCTATGGGTTATTACGTACCCTGTATTCGAAAAATCTATTCTAAAGCAGAAAATAACAATTACAAAAACGAAATATACCTACTATGTTATGATTATATTGAGAGATAAGTATTTGAACAATCAGGGATGGTTTCGATAAATTTATGGATGCCATAAATTGTTGTACAATACTTTTTTTTACTGTTACGAAACGACCTATTAAGAAATTATTTATTAGTACGCCGGCAGAGTGAAAGATGGCGTCCTTGAAACTTGGAGAGAAAGTGACTGTTTATGATCTTGATCTATAGCTCATTATTGGATCAATAAATTTATTGATATTGGTTTGTTTAGGTAAACTTTAAGCCAATTATCTTCCTGGTTTCTTTATCTTCTCTAACTTATCGTTTTTGCAAAAAATCTTTGTTTGTGTTGACATTTTTCTTAGGTCATGTGAGACGTTTCGCACTAATATGTCAACAACTAATAATTGACAAGGCATTTGCATATATTTGAATAAAAATAGCCTAGCCTTATATTACATCAACAACTGTGTCATTTCGCAAATATTCAAACTCCTAAGTAAGATTTTCAAATGTATACTATAGTCCTATATTACACTGTAGACCTGTATTTTTGGAAATACGCCATATAGGAATAAGGCATAATAAGGATTTATTACATCTACTACTAGGCTAGCCTAACAGTGGTGTAACCTATTTTCGTGCATAAAAGGATTCAACACCGAAAAAAAAAGAATTAGATGTCTTAGATGTTTCCTCAGATATTCTACAAGATAATTAAAATTTGCTTGTTTTGATTTTCTTTATGAATCCTTCACTTTGACCCATATTTCATGAGCAACCAACTCTGCAACGGCGGCAGAATGCATCACCTATTTTCGTGTACATTGTTTGATCTATAGATAAGAAAAACATGTTGTATGGATACCGGGTGGTAAAATTAACTATGATTTTAAAAGAAAATTGTGACTGACAATATAAGATACGTAGCGTGATTTATTGCTAAAAGTCACTGAAACAACATAAGAATATGACCCACTTTGTGTTCCATAGAAACTTTCTGCTGACACGGAATCTGCTAGTTGATCACGTGACTTCATTCGTTGGACTACATTCTAGCAGACGACACTTGGAATTCTGATTACCGCTTGGGATTATAATAAAGAAATTCGGCCAATAAAAAATGGTGATGTTTGGTAATAACTGAAATCCGCCATTTTGTATTTGTCAAAGTATACATTAATACATTTTACCTTGTGCGAGGTCGCACTTGTAAATTATTAATCATTTCCGGAAATGCACGAAAAATAGGTTATCACGAAATTAGGTTACTTGACTGTACTATCTGACTACATTGAGCTTTGAACTAAAAATTTTCTCTCATTTCTTAAATATACAAAATAAAATTTTCAACTGTATGTCATTTGTCTTAGATTGCCTTTGGGTCCACACACTTCCCTCCAAGAAAATTTACCTGAAAAAGACCTTCAATTACGAAAAAAAAAAGTCTTTCTATGTTCTGAATTAAAACCCAAAAATAAAAAAAAAATAAAATTGACCTTGCGGAAACAAATAGATTCTGCATGTGGATATTTTAGCGACATCCAATATTTTTCAAAACATGAAAATGATGATTTCACCTGAAGTTGCACATTTGAAATATTTTAGCATTTCGGAGCTGGACAAAATGGAGTACAGGTAGCCTGACTGTCTTGTCTTATAAGCTTATAGCACAGACGGAAGATTCTTTACATAATGTCATTTGCTTGCTTACATCAAGAAAATGGCTGCTGTGGGTTCCGATCTCGAGAGGCGTAGGAAAGTCTGATGACCTTTAAAAAGTAATCTTCACTCATAGTTCCAGTCGACCTAACTGTTAATGGGTACAGATAATTTTGAAAAGATCAATATCCACAGGTTTGGCCAAGGACCAGCTGGTATAAAGGATATTTTACTGTGAACTTAAGTTGTTATGCTTAACAAAGTTGTTAGTTAGAATGTCTTTGGGTCTGTAGGGCATAGCAAGGATGCCTGATGTATCAGCCAATATGTTTTCAGCCCATGAGCTATGATAGTAAAGTAATATTGGCAAGATATTAGATAAAAATCTTTCTTAGAGATATCAAAGGAAATGATAGTATTTTCATCACTGTGTTGAATGTTTCACCAGTAAATACAATGTTATGATCTGAGGGGAAATAATATGAGAGAAATGTCTGTGTCAATTTACATAACAATATGTAGCAATTACAAGTATTTGACACCCATATTATTTGATACCAATATTTATATTTTATTATTGTATACTAAGTCGAGGCAACATTATGTTTTTACTGACAAATTTTATATTTTGCTATTGATTTCATTGTCTTTATTTGTACCTTGGAGTCTCTTCAGTCTTGTTTTTTAGTCCCAGTTTCCCTACTTTTATGCACACAGCTCTCTGTTCTTATGAGCATCAATGTTAGATTGTTGGAGGCTTGAGTAAAGCTCTTCACCTTCTGATTCAACCAAAGTACATTACTTCTGAACATGAAGTTAAAAAAGCGATAAACATTTTGTCTTTGAACATTGCACAGATGTATCGTGTCGTATGTATTAGACATAAGTACATAGCATCTAATTCTGAATACGATTGATCTCCATAATTCTTTGACCTATTTCTTTCATAACTTCCCATGGCATTATATTATGTTATATTCTAAATCGCTAGGAAAACCAAGATATATTTCAAAGAAGATATTTCATTATTAGATATATGAGCATCACCAGTTTTAAGACCATTTTTTGATTCAGTTATATTCAGTAAGCTTATAGTTGAACCACTTGAACCCTACTGTTTTAAATTCATGGAAGCAAATTAATATAACACTTTAGAGCTTTTATGTACTGAAGCTGCAAAATTGAAATCAATGTTAGTTCATTGTTATAGTGTGATTATCTGCTCTCTAGTTGCACACAATATTGATAATGTGTATTATTACAATTGAAAGCATCATGTAGAGTGTACAGTACAGTGTATTGATTGATAATGTTATTGAAACTGAATGTCACATGATTCATTTAATTGTATTTTAAAAATTCTTGAGATTTTTGTCATAACCAGTATCCTGGGAAGCATTCTGTAGACATCAGGTCAAAATTATTTTGGTGGTAATCAGATGAGGTAGATATTGGTTTAATACCACAGTTTTAAACTTCTTTACATTATCAAGGAGATATATTGATGCTAAATATATTTGTTTAGGATTGTAGGCAGGTTTAGAACATATTTAACTAGGATTCACACAAACTGGACTTGTAAAGAGAGGTTACCTTACTTTTTCATTGATTACCTTTTCTTTACACAAAATCTCTATTTTCTTCAAGTTTTACTTCAAGCAGGTTAGTTCTTTGTTTTTCTCTACCTAAATAGTTCTATTTGTTGTGAAGAAATTGATAGAATTGTGATCTTTTTAACAGTATTGTATTGAATGTTGTTATATTTTGTCTTTTCCTGGATATTCCCAGCATTTGTGTATATGATGGGGAGTAATTTAGGTTGTGTTTGAGATCTGTTGTCAGATAAGATATTTACTTGTATTAATAAGTAATGTAAGCCTGATATTTTTATTTATGTTTTGTGGATTTTGTGTCAATTGTTTATTTTTCTTTTGACTTGAATGTTTCAAAGGGAAACTCAAGTGTTTTGATTTTAATTGATTGGCCAGGCAATTTTGCTTCTTTTGATTTATATGAAGTATTAAGAACTGTGGCTAAACATAGTAATTGTGAGGTTTGCTGTAAAATTGCTTCATATGAAATTTTCTATGTATCAATGAAATTTTATGGAAAATTTACCAATGAAAGGAGAGTTAGCTTAATATTGGAAGTCTGCTGATTGAATTGATTTTTCTCCAATTATTTCAGTAGTTAGAGAATGTCACAATGACATTGTATAATATCTCAGTAGAAAAACCAACATAATATTTGTTTTTTAAGAATGATAGAAATCAATAAAGTATCATTTCTAATTGTGTCTTTCAAGGCTTGATTTGAGTGGAATTTCAACATAGGAAATTGTTGTCAGGAAAAAGTACTGTGCTAATACCCAAAACAATAATTTTATTAATCTTTTAAACGTAAGTCAGAAAAGTAGGATGTAAAACTCCATTCATTTCATTTCATTTTTCAATGCTGGATAATTGATGCCTTCTGTTAAAAGTAGTAACTTATTACCTATAATAATGATAATGGTATTTTTTATGTTTCAGATTTATATGTATATGAAATAAAGACCTCACCATGTATAATAATAGATATCATAGTAAGAGTAGTCTAGAGGAGGCTTCTGAAGCTGCAGCTAAAGTTAATGCTATGTTGATTGCTGAAGGAAAATTAAAACTATCTCAAGTCAATCAACATTATCAAAGTAAAGCCAAGGTAAATATGTTTTTTTTATCAAAATAAGCTTTTCTGTTTGTTTTGGTTTTTAAGTGACCTACCTCATTCATGCCTTAAAATTTCTAGAAGATGGTGACTTGACAAATTTCAGACATTAATCTTTGAAGAAAGAATGTCTAATATGAAATATCTATAAAACTTGTTTTGCAGGCTGGTGGATTATTTGTATTAGATATAGAAATAAACGATGCCCCTATCACATGTCGTAATATTCTAACTAAAGGCACCACACAGGAACATGTAAGTTGAAAGTTTTGAAATAAAATCTGAATGCTGTTGGTTGGTAATAAAACACAATGATAATGTTATGTGGGAAATGAAATGAATATTTGAAGATATATCTGATGTTTGTTATATTTACGTTGATTGAAGTTTTGGCTTCTTTTCACTCAGGATCTCTTCATGTGCAACTCCTGGTTTTAAATTCTACTTCCAATATACCTAGTACGTGATCTTTGATTGTTGCCATTGTTCTTTGTTCTGTATTGTTTATATAGTTTATGTGGAGATACAAGAATATTTATGTAACTTAGCTCACCTAGAATATTTTGTCTTTTCCTTTATTTACCTGGATTTAGCTTGTTCTTTATCTTCTAAATTTTTATTGAGAAGCAGCCTGGTACATTATAAACATTATTTATTGTCAAATGTATTTGTGTCACCCTGCAACTCATACATTCAGTCTATTGTCTTATTCCATATGTTTACATTAACATTGAGATTATCTTCAAAACAGCATCTCCAAGTCTTATTGTATACCTTAAAAAGTTTTTTAGTTGAATTGAGTACTGTACAGTTTCCAGAAATATGAAAATTGAAATTTCACCTCTGGACATCTGTGAGATTTGACAAGAATTTGTTGTAAAATTTGTCAAGCCATACTGAGCCTTAAAAGTATAGTATATCATTCTTACACAACTACTTTTATTCAGATAATGAAATTAAGTGGTGCTGCTATATCTACTAGAGGAAGATATATACATCCAGAAGAGAAGAGTAAAGTTGCTGCAGAGTAAGTTTCAAGTCTGAATTCTGCTAAACTATGTTATATCTCATGCAGTCAATAAATAAAAAGAAGTGGGGTTGAGCTGTTTTGAATGCACAATGAAGGATCTTCAACAGTTAAAAAGTAGATCAATATAAGTGTAAAAAAAAGTGGACTGACACTGATGTCATAGCATAAACTTTCAATTCATTTACTGTTCTCGGTTTATATTGGAACATTTTCTTCATAAGGAAAATTATTAGTCTGTCATTGTTATATTTGATATCCTATTTGAAATATTTGTTGTCTAATTTCAGTGATAAGCCATTATTCCTGTATATTCAAGCTACTACCCAACAAGCTATCAATAGTATGTATTAATAAGTAATATTTTTAGCATTGTTCATCTGTCAAAAAAAAAATCCTATTTCAAAGGGCCCTATTGTCTATTACAATATCTGGTAATGATGCCTTAAGAAAATACTTTGATTATGGTGCAGTTTTCAAATAAAACCGCAAAAGAATTTGCAGTTTTCACAATTTGATTACTTTTCTGTAATGGCATCATTTTTTACGACCTGCAACTGTTTCCGTACTATGAAACTTATATCAATGATGTTTTATATCTATGTCATATAAAATAATAATCAAGGATGTAGCATTACATTTACCGGCAAATTTTCTTTAATTTAATCAGAGGTCATTATGACATAGCTATTGATTAACGTTGGAAAAAAGTAAGTGGATAACAGCTGTTATTATATATTATTGATATTTATAACAATGATCTTTTTTTGTACTTTCCTGTTGCTTGTGTATGTTTATCAAGGATTAAACTTTTTTTTTTTCCAAGGCTCCATTTTAATAGCTAGTGAGTTTGACAAATGACTAGCTGACAAAACAAAAAGAAAGCAAATGTTATCTGGATTGTATTTGTTATTGTGTATTGTTTTATAGTTGCAGCTAAAAGGATCAATGAAATATTAAAAGATGGTCAGGGTAAACCTGCATGGAATGAACATAATAATAATAATAATCAGTTGATACATCCACCCCATGTACCAGTGAATACTTTACAACCCCCTCCTCAAACACATCAACCACCCCCAACAACATATCTGAGACCACCCCCTACAGAACCTGCTATGGTAAAACTTCTTTATTCTCCCTTATCTCAGCTGTCCTAAATTTAGCGAAATTTTCAACGTTTCAGGCCCATAATATGAAAGAATTGTCATTGGAATGTACTGGTATATCTCTTGGCATAGTTGAAATTGAAAAATTGATTGAAAAAATATTGACTGTAATTATGAATTTATGGAAAGTAAACTTTGGCACTGACCATTGTTTTTTAAAATCAAAAACATAAACCATCTCTGATTGATTATTTTCATTCAAGTTTTCAATCAGTAGAAGTTTGTTAAGAATCATTTTTATATTTAGGTTACATTCTTACAAGAGAAATTATATATAGGATTAGAACATGCACCACCCAATTTTGATGTGAAAAATAAGATAATTGGACCTGCTGTAAGTATCGGTGTATGCTTTTTTTGCATTTAAATAGAGTTGCTATGTTGTCAAGTCTGGCTTTATCAAATCAAAATTTACTGGCTTATTTTCAATGTATTTATTAAAGTATTTCTTAAAATCGATACATGAATATAGTCCAAAGAAATGTCGTTAAAGAGATAACATGTAATATTGAAATAAATCTGATTAAAATGCAAATTGAATTGTTTCATTGTGACTACACTTGCCATTCATGATCTGATAAAATTGTTATGCATCATATGTTCAAATGCTTTGCCCAATAAAATTATTTCCTACTATGGAATATTGATTGTAAGATATTAGTGTTTCGATCTGTTGGAAGAAATAAGCTTATAACAACTTTTGATGCTATTGGGTCAATTCCATTGAACATGATTTAGTAGATTTTTAGTGAGATCATGAAATGGCAAGTGTGGTAGCCTGCAGGAAAACACAAAACAAAACAAAACAAATATGTATACTCATGCTTAACATTTTTGATAAATGTATATTTTGTAGGGAAGTTATTTAAGACATGTTATGGGTGAATCAGGAGCTATAGCTACTCTATGTGGTAAAGGATCAGGATTTGGTGATTCTGACTCTATTGAGCCAATGCATATTCAGATACAGTAAGTTTCTTTCTTTACTTTACAAATAATTACATGTGACTCACACATGACCACTTTCCTTATTTTGGAAAAGAAATGGCATAATAATGCATGTATGTATGGAAGTGTATCATGTATGAGTTTGTGCTGTTAATTATTACTATTATATAATCAGCAACATTTGTTTGTTTTTCAGACATCCAACTATGGAAGGATTGCAGCAGGCTAAGGCTTTGTCATCTAATTTGATTCAAACTGTAAGCATTGCTTAAATTATACTATGCTGAATTTAAAACCTCTTTCTCTTGATTCCTTCCAAATCTGAAATTATTTTTCCATGAGAAATTAAATTCACAACTTTGCCTTGGATCTCTAGATTATTGAATGCTGTCCTAATAAATTGCTGATAAAAACTTGATTACCAATCGTATGATTATTCTGTATGTTGATTAATATCTTTTCTTTCCAGTTGACCAATTGATTTTTTTTTTCTCAAGTTTTGAATGGATGTTTTGTATGCTCATGTATTACGATAAGTTTTAAAACATAGCCAAAGTCCTAGTTTTCTGTGCAGTGGATTATATAGGTTTGGAAGTTGAAAACTCAGCTGAAAACGGTTTGCTGAAATGCTTGTTAATAGCAGTGTTGCAAATCCAGACTGGTTTTTAAAAATGGAGGATAAGAAAGTGACCCTGTTTTAGTTGTCATGGTAACTGATACAATCCTCCTATATTAAATAGCACAATGAGAACAGTTTCCAATTTATTAGTCTTACTTGGAATCTACATTGTTGTGTACAGAAATGTCTTCAGATCTGTTTAAGTATTTTTCACCATATCACAATTTATTTATCCTCATTATTACCTCCCTTGTTAGACTGAAATTTAGATAAACCTAGAAAAAAAGGGTTTATTGTTATTCTTTCCTATTCAAGTAATTTTACCATTAGTTTTGTTTTCTTCTTGATTCAAACTTCAACAATTTCCATATTGTAAATCAAACAAATATCTAAACTTCCTGAGAGATAGACCGAAACATCTGTCGCTATTCCAGACTCTAATAGCTATTTGGACAGATATCAGCTGGTGTAGAGACAGAAATGATAAGCCTTGTTAAATGGGGACATTCTGTATCTCTGGGGGTTTTAAACATATTTAGATATCTCAGATCTGCAAAATCCAGGTAATTTGGAAAGATGAATAGTTTTGTAGCTCAGTCATAAAAATCATTTTCTCCCTACACCATTTATGTCATGTATCCGGTTCCATCAAAGTTTTTTTTGTGGGGAAAATGATTTAGCATCAGCCATTTAAACTGCGTGCACAGCCAAAAATTCAAAGATTACAGAGTCATGTGATACTAACAAAATGAAAGTTACGGTGATGCCCAACACTAATTTACAATCATCTTAATAATCTTAGGTAATTTAATATTATGTTAGAGGTTTGGAGATGTGGAAAATCCCCATTTAACAGGGTCTTTTTCTTCTGACTCTAATCCATCTGATAACTGTCAAAATATCTATTAGAGACTGGAATTCGGACTACCTCCCTTGTATGAATGTAATGTAAGAATGTAATAACATCAGTAATAGAAAATGTCTCGAAAAAGGTTTCAGTATATTTCAGAAATACCATACTTATGACTGGAAATTTGATACGCACACAACTTAAGAGATGACTTCAATGACAATTTTCAACTAAACCTAGCAATATTGATTGCAAAACATGTACCATTTAAAACTTAATAACTCTCTTCTGAGAGGATATTTATAAACTAGTTTGTTTATCCTATTTATTTTAGGTCCAGCAAGAATATGCCCAATTTCAACAAGCTTTAGCGGCCATGCCACAACCTATGACACCAAACCAAACTCCAGTTTATATGGAGGTGCCAGGGCAGAGTAAGTCTGCAGTCTATTGAAATTTCATTTTCTATTTCTTTCACATTAGCTGAGTGAAACTTCAAGGCCAGTTATTTTATGTGGTTTATTTTTTTCAGAAATTTTATACATTTTCTTACAGGAGTTCATATATTTTCTATCATTCATGTGATAAAATAATAAAAAATGTTGTTAATTATGTATTTAGTATTTCAGACATAAAGTTAGGTTATTAAGGATATGGTGTTTTAATTGCTCTTAATTTATCTGTCAGAGCATATGAAAACACTGTTTGCCCTCTATTATATTTCCCAGGAATATGTATATTTTCATTTGAAATTTGCAATTTAATGTCAAAATGAAAGACATTCTGGCCTACTGACTAACACTTATGTTGAATATAAGTAATGTGATATGAAAAGCTTTTACATTTTACTCTTTTTTGTAGCCATTGTGAAATAGCCCCTATGAGAATTAATCATAATATATGATATTTATTGGTTACTCCTATTAAATTTATATTGTCCTTTGGTTTATTCAGTTTTCCAGAATTTAAAAATTGATATTGGAACAAAAAAAGGCAAAAAAATACTATGGAAGTTAAGACCATATAATTTCTTGTAAGAATAATAATGGTCTCAACTTCCGCTGTATGTTTTAGTATAATTTCATGTATTTGAAGAAGTCAGATATCAATTCTGAAAAGTGAAATATAAAGCTGAAATAGAGCTCTATCTATATGTGATTCCTCAATGGATATAGTCCTCTAGATATTTGATGTAAATCAAGTGTTTTCCCAATTTCTACATTGGCTTCATATAATTGTGGACAATCTTGATTCAATTTTTCTTAAAAGTTATCAGTGTTGGCTGGATAAAGAAATTTAAAGAGGTTAAATCTGCAAGGTTATCTATACATGATATCTAGTTGATATGTAAATGATAAAGTATTGTATTTTTTTTAAGCATCACTAACAGGAGGTACATTGTTAGGACCACCAGGAATAGCCACTATTACTACCTTAACACAACCTCTTACTGGCTTACCACCTCCAGGTTAGTACTATTATTGATAGTAATCTTAAGAAAAAAGAAATCTACATTGCTAGTAATCTATTGTGATAGTAGCCTATGATAATTAAAATCTACATTGATAGTAATCTATTGTGATAGTAGTCTATAATGATAGTAATCTACGCTGATAGTAATCTTTTGCGATATTAGTCTATAATGATAGTAATCTACATTGATAGTAATCTATTGCGATTGTAATCTACATTGATAGTAATCTATTGTGATAGTAGTCTATAATGATAGTAATCTACACTGATAGTAATCTATTGTGATAGTAGTCTATAATGATAGTAATCTACATTGATAGTAATCTATTGCGATTGTAGTCTATAATTATAGTAATTTACATTGATAGTAATCTATTGTGATAGTAGTCTATAATGATAGTAATCTACATTGATAATAATTTATAATGATAGTAGTCTATAATGATAGTAATCTATTGTGATAGTAATCTATTGCGATTGTAGTCTATAATGATAGTGAACTACATTGATAGTAATCTATTGTGATAGTAGTCTATAATGATAGTAATCTACATTGATAATAATTTATAATGATAGTAGTCTATAATGATAGTAATCTATTGCGATTGTAGTCTATAATGATAGTAATCTACATTGATAGTAATCTATTGCGATTGTAGTCTATAATGATAGTAATCTACATTGATAGTAATCTATTGCGATTGTAGTCTATAATGATAGTAATCTACATTGATAATAATTTATAATGATAGTAGTCTATAATGATAGTAATCTATTGTGATTGTAGTCTATAATGATAGTAATCTACATTGATAGTAATCTATTGCGATTGTAGTCTATAATGATAGTAATCTACATTGATAATAATCTATTGCGATTGTAGTCTATAAAAATGATAGTAATCTACATTGATAATAATTTATAATGATACACTTAAAATTTATTTGGATGATAATCTATAATGATATTCATATAGATTATGATAATCTACCGAAGGATAATCTTCATTAATGATATTCAACAATAATGGTAGGCGTCAATGAGACTATTCTAAAATTTTGATTATATACAAGGATAGTAGTATTGATACATAACTTAAATGATACTTATTTTATGTGAAAATAATCTACAATAAAACTGACCTAATTGAGACTAATTGACAATGGAAATTAACTAAATTGATTATTATTATAGGAATGCAGCCAGCACAAGGAATGGTAGGACTACCAGCCTCATCTCAGGCTGTATCTATGACATCAAGCTTACCACCAACTTCTATGATTAATGTTGCACAAGGTATGTAATTTTTATTTTTTATCCTCTCTTTAATGTGGTCCCCTGTTTGCCAATGGTATCTATACTATAAAACTGAAATGACACTTCAGTTATTGCTGATTCATTGACTAGTTTCTAAAAATGGAGGATAAGAAAGTGACCCTGTTTTAGTTGTCATGGTAACTGATACAATCCTCCTATATTAAATAGCACAATGAGAACAGTTTCCAATTTATTAGTCTTACTTGGAATCTACATTGTCGTGTACAGAAATGTCTTCAGATGCTTCATAGCATATTTGACCATATTACAACATAGTTATCCCCCTTAGTTAAATAACATACAAATGTACTCAACAATCTTTTGCTTTTTCATACATTACTTTCTGTGAAACAATGTTTATGAAAGGAATGAGTGACATTCCAAGTAATTATTATAAATAATGAAAATTTTGTATTTCAGCCATGGGTTCAGCACCAGGCAGTGTGATGTTACCCACCTCCTCATCCTATACTACAATGGCTATAACATCACCTTTAGTAGCATCACCATTACCATCTGGTCAAATGTTGTCCAATATGGGTACGTACTGCTTAATATATTACTGTAACATATATGAATACTGTGAGATGCAGTAGCTTGGGTCAAATACTGTGTGGTGCTCAAATACACATTTGATTTGGAAAAGTATGGGTGATGTTTTTTCCATTTGTATCCTTGCACAACATAATATATTAACATATATAATTAGATTATTTCTTTTCTAGATGGAGGAAATGTAAGCAATGAAAATGTAATGTTGGTACCAAATACCAGTGTCCCTCCTCCGATACTTCAGGGACCACCTCCTCAACCACAGCAGTTTGAAATCAACAATCCTAATAACCAATTTATAGGTAAGGAACTATTACGCTTTTTATGATTAATGCTTTTTGACTGTGATGAATCTGCTAGTTGGTTTCACTGAGCTCTATGTTTTGGGTTTGATCTTGGAATCGGTCAAAGTAGTATCTATAGAGTAGTATAGTAGAGTGTGGGTATGTTTGTGAGTAGAATCCCATGTCTGATGACTGTTGGAAATCTTTAAAGATCAAGGGAATTGATGCTGCTTTCCTTATTGTTAATGCTTGTCTTTATTAGTCCACTACAATGGGTCATTTGCTGTAGAGTCTTTTAGTGTGGTCTAATCTGATGTATTTGATTTATTGTAGCTTTACCATCAGAAGGACAGATAATAGTTAGTGGTACCCCCCAACCTGGTAGTAACCAAGTGACAGTGGTAGGACCACCACAGGCTGTGATACCCCCACCTGGTCCATTACCAGCTATTATTACAGCACCTAATGGACAGACCATGGAGTTGGTACAAACCTCACAGGGTCCGCCACCTCCACAGTCTATACCTATAGTAGGTCAAGGTCAACCACAACAACCACCTGTAAGTATTTTTATTTAATCTTTTGGAAGCGATGGGAGCTTCAGGTGATAAAATGTCTTTGCTTTAGTTAATAATTTAGCATCATGTCTTCCAAGTTGTATCCATCTGTCTCTAAATAAGAAAAATAGATTTTGGACCAGCCCCCCCTTGGAAATGCATTTTGAGCGTTCTAAGCCTTTTTATTCAGAATGAACCTTTCTGTTAATTCAATATTTTTCTTGTAGTTTTCTGTCCAGACCAGTATAGCATACAGTGGTGAACTGTTGACCTCTACTTCCAGTTTAACAGCATCCAATCCCCAAGCATCTACAATACAATCATTTAAAGATGAGGTTGCTGGTAAACGTAGATTTAAAGAAGAGAAAACAGATGAACCTGTACCAACTAATTTACTGGGCTATCAGGTAAACTTGGTCACGAATAATGGGTCTGGTTCTTCAAATAGGGCCTGACCCCAAAAAATGTTACGTATTGTCTGGGTAAAATCTCTGGTTAAAATTTAACAAAAATCTTGTCACCATCTTAAATAAGTGCACATTATACATCAAATATACCGATAGTGAAAAGTTTAAAGAATAACAATGCAACTTTCATTTTATTTGATTTCAGCATGGTCCAGGATGGAATAACAAAACAAAATCAACAGACAAATCAGAGGAGAAGAAAATATCATTAACAGGTAAAAAGATGTTTTTTTTTTTTTTTACAAAAGTACCCCTTTTATCTCTTTACATTGGTATATTTTACAGTGTCCGACAATCTGTCTATATATACATCACAATGTTGTTCCTTTCAAGTTCAGGTGAATTACAATAATTTCATACTTTCCAACTTTGGAATGTTTTTTTCATCTATTTGATATATACAATATTGATAAATTTATTCCAGGTATTAAAAGAGGCTCACAGAAATCTGAAGATGAGCCGAATCAGAAGAAAGATAAAAATTCCAATGGATTACATTTATCTAAAGGTATTATTTATAGATTTATTGTGGGAAAAATTGGTGTCAGATAGTCTTGAGTCAAACAAAAACCCATAAAATCAAACAAAATTGATAAATTGTAATAGTTTCAATTATTGAATACAATAATCTTATCAAATTCTCAAAAAGTAAATAATTAAATAGAGTTTTTTTACACTGCAAGTACTGGTTCACCTATAAATTCTGTATCAGAACTATTTTTGGAATAAAGGTTAACGTTAACTATCCTTTAGGGCTATAATAAAAGTTATAGGATCAAGATATTCTGAATCATGTATGACAAATGTTTAATTTCTAGATTACGGATATGGAGATGAGAAGCTGGAGAAAGAGTTAAAGAAATCTGAAAAAGATGGGAAAGCCTCAGAAGAAGACCACCAATCTTTAACAAATGATGGAACTTTAGACCCACATGTTCATCCATATAAAGTCACTGTTTCATCAGCACCTACCATTTATAACACATCCCAATCTATACTTCCCCCATCTGTTTCTTTTGGTCAATACACACAGCCCCCTCCTGACCAAACTCAGTATATTAATGCTGGACCAATAGGTGAACAACAAATGTACCCTCCTCCAGGACAACCCTTAGCTTTGTCAAGTCAGTCTCTTCCTATCCATAATCCTCCAGTACCAGTGGTCAGTATTTCAGTACCCATGGCCAGTCAACAGATGCCTGTGGTTTCCAGTCATCCAATGATACCAGGTCAACCAATAATTGCTAGCCAACACATCCCAGTTTTCAGTCAACCACCAGTTCCAATTACTAGTCAGGCCTTACCAGCATACAGCCAGGCCATGCCTGTATCCAATCAACCCTATAGAGAACCATCTCCTCCTTTAGCCTGGGGAGCACCTGCACCACCTCCCTCATCCATAGCACCCCCATTACCACCAACATCATTTTATCAGAGCAATCAACCCCCACCACATCAATGGAATGGACCAGAACCAACTTACAGCACACCTAGTTCTCAACCAGGTTTCACTCCTGGAGTTTTTACTGGTCCTCCACCAACATCTATACAGTATAGTCAGCCACCTCCTCCTATGCCTTACTGGGTAGGACCAAACTGAAAGCACTGTCTTCCTTCCAGGACATTTCAGTGATATAGTCAGGATTTAGGTGCTAATATACATTTATCTCCGATTTCTGTGTTACTATAGTTATATTTATATCTGATGCTTGGAATTGTTGATTCTGAATTGAGGTCAAGAAAGTGTGGAAGAGGAACAGTGATATGGGTGTTATTAACAGTATTATACTATAGTGACCCTATTCCGATCAAATTCAGAATATCAAGATAATACGAGATTATTGAATCAGCAAAATAAGTATACATTTCTTCCATTAGCTCTCTAGAGAATGAAGCAAATATATTATGTATATATTTGTGTGTATTCAAAGTTTTGATGGTAGCTTATTTGTATAACACATTCAAAGCAACCTGTTTATAGCCACACAGTATTGTATAGAGCATAAATAATTTATGTCAGCTTTATATTAGTGGAAAGTATTTTTGTCTGTTGTTTAGTTTTATGGGTCACATTGACTTCCTGCCATTATCTGAACTTAATGTCTGTTTAATCAGATAAATGCCATTCTACACTCAGTTGACTTAGTATAATATAAGTTTTTATGTCTAAATCGCAAGCTTTACTCAAAATTATGGAGGCATTGGTTATTTATATTTGAAATTTTATATTTCTCTCATCCAATTGAAGGTCTGTCTTAATAGTAAATGTGACTCATATTTTAATTTCATTGATTTTGCTTTCCTTGACGCTAATTTTACTTATTCTCAAACTTAGAATTTCTTGAATGCACTGCATCTGTTGATATTTGAAGCAGTGAATTATTATACATACTAGGTAAATTGTTATTGTTATATTGTATTTCTTGCTTTATGTATATTTGTTCCTGATTAAGTTACGTCAGTGTTTGTGATATACTGAAAATAAATGATACAATATGCAGTTATGGTTTCTGTGATGTATAAGTAAAAAGGTTCATGGCCTTTCCAAAACATGTGAGTGAACTAATCTCTCTATAAGGGTCTGGTTATAGGTATTGGACCTGCCTTGCAAGCCGAGCTAGTTTGGTTACCCAGGTTGAAATATTTGCCTTTTTAAAAAATATGTTGCACGCATGCTCTGACTTATATGAAAACCAGGCTGGCCCTGTTCCATATAATTAAGATTAAGACTATGGAACTTATATCCCTCATTACTGCTCTAGCAGGAGAATTCAATGGCGCTTTACAAACCGAACTATTTCTGCATTATAGTCTTTATCTGTACACACACTGTATGTTTCAGTAAATCTGTAGAAATTGACTCAAATGACCCAAGGCGGACTCCCCACATATAACCAGGCCTTAAATTATTACATTTTTATATGCCTAGATGAAATGCAGGGCGTATATCGACCGACGTCCATCCACAATTGCTTCGGATTTCGACGAAACTTGGTGTTTTTTATCTCCCAAGGATGAACCCAATTGAAAATCAGAAGAATCCATAAATATTTAGTATAAGTTATTGCCCTTGTTCTTGAAAATTCAATTCTTAGCCCGTAAAAAATCTTGAAGGCACAATTCTTGATGGATTTTGATTAAACTTGGTGTGAGGGTTTGTTATCATCCAGGGATGAAAACTATCAAAGATCAGAAAAAATCAAAAAATATTTAATATGAATTATTGCCCATGTTCTTGAAAACACATTCAATTTTACTCTGGTAAACACTCTAGAAGGCACAATTCTTGATGGATTTCGATGAAACTTGGTGTTAGTGTTTGTTATCACCCTAGGTTGAACCTTATTGAAAATCGAAAGAATTGAAAAATATTTAGTATGAGTTATTGCCCTTGTTTTTAAAACGCTTTCAATATTTAGTTTGTAAACACTTAAAGACACAATTCTTACCAGATTTTGACAAAACTGGATAATATGAATGGAATAGAGTGAAGAAACTGATACTTGAAACCTTCTAAATAAATTGGTCCAAAGTTCTTCACATGAATGGATTGAAAAACTAACAGTGTAAGATAATTTATTTAAATATTTTGATTGGTTCAACAATCACATTGTGAAAAACACATGGTATCACCATGTCAACAATAAATTAACATTTTAATATCTTTTTACATTAATTAATAAAAAATATTTACAATCTATTATTATTATCATAACCTGGTAAGTGAGGGATCAAACCACAAAATAATTTTTAAACTTACTTCACATTCTATATTTGGAATGTAAAGAGCTAAATAAACTTGGAATAATATTGTGCCATTTCACACTTTTAATATAAAACCCTAAAATGTGATAAAAAAAAAAAGGAGATAATGATTGAGATAAAATTTGAGTATTTTGATAAAATAACAAAATATCACATAATTTTTTTTCTGATTTTATCTAAATTTTTATTAAAAATAAATATCACAGTTTTTATTTACACAAACTTATTGTTATATCTAAATGTTATGGTTCCAATGAATTTCTAATAGCATTTGTATAACATATACTGTATAATTGTGAATATATCGCGCACTTCTTACGTCTCCAGTAATTCTTGAAAAATTTCTATCATTGTCAATAATATGTACCCTATCAGGATGAAATAATCAAGAAGTTGGTTATTGTTAGTATGCTTTAAAGATTATTTTGCCATGATATTGCAAAAAATGTAGGTTTTTAGCATTTAATCTTATTAAGCAATTTTTCACCAATCTTAGTACCTTTTCTAAATGTGCGGTCACCTTTAAAAAAGAAAGGATGTCTTTGGTACAAGTATAAAAAAAGGCTTAGAAAGGATACTTTTAGGCAAGTAAGATTTTGGCACAAAGCATTGAAAAAAATATGATGCAGATCTTGTGCATTGTTTACGGCGTTGTAAAACTAGTAGAAGTGGATCAAAGAAATAATTATATAAACATCAAGTCCACATCAGTAGCATACTAGATTGTCAGACAGGGCAACCATTAAGCATGCTACATGTTTTTTTGTAACATTTTTAATAAGCTACACAAAAAAAAGATATACAATTCTAAATATACTCAATCACTCTTCATAAAAACTCATTGAATAAAACAAAAATTGTTTTTATACCACAGAGGATATGGAATCTCAGTTTCAAAATATCATCATTTAAAAATAAATAATAACAAAAACAAATACTTGTCCACTATATTTGTACACACTAGTTATTTATAAATACAAGTCTTGTGTATCCCCTGGTGGTGACGTGGTCCCCGAGGAGTATAATGTATTTATGGACGGCACTTTTAAAGTGTTCGTTATATTACTCTTTTTACTGATTGGCTGTAAGGAGTGGTGGGAGGTGTTACTTTTTAAACTAACGCGGCTCAGGGCACTACTTGGTCTTGATGAATGAAAGAATGTGTTTAGGGCGTTACTTAAACGTCTGCCTAAACTAATAATACTGTTAGCACGGGATTGAGACGCTTGGTTTGCAATGTCTGTTTTTTGTTGCATGGCCAAGCTTGTAATATTTTTTAGTGCCTTTTGTGTTTTAAAGCTACGCCAACATCGTTGTAAAGTTCTTGCAGCAACATCTTCCTTTTTGCGCTGCATTGTCGTTGATTTTTTCACCGTCATTACACGAGATGGAAATATATCTCCAAATTTAGTCTCCATTTTCTTATGAAGAGCTTTTGATTCCTCTGTTTCATCCACAGAACCTAAATGTTTTTTCACAAGCGCCATTAATATATCCAAGCAATGAAGTTTGTCACCCTCAACTATTGGAAGATTAAAAGCAACAATTGTTATTTCGTTGGGCTTTGGAATTCCTAATGGCTCTTCCAGATCAGCTAAAAAGTCTGACAACACATCATACTTTATAAACTGTGTTGCCAGAGGATCATACCTCTCCCATACAACATAGAACATATCAAAATCATCCTCTGTTATTCCTACTTCCTCTTGTTCATGAGCCTGATTAAAATTTTCCAGAATCACAGCAATATACATATTAATAATCACCAGATAGGCTATGAATATATATGTTACCATATATGGTATAGCAAGCCATGGTATCCCACATTCACCATATGTTTGCTTTATTCGCTGTCCGTTTGATAATTCTATTGTATCAGGATCACAATCTGGGTACTCTATTAATAATGGATCTAAGATTTCATTCCAGCCAGCTGATGTTGATAAACGGAACAATAAAATAATACTGTTAGCGAATGTTTGAAAGTTGACAATGTCATTATTCATCATGGGAGAAACCCTCAGGTTTTTAAAGGACGACATTCCCAAAATGGCATAAATGTACATAATTAATGCTAGCAAGGCTCCAATATTTACAATAGCAGGTAACGATATAATTAACGCAAACAACAATTTTCGTAATCCTTTAGCAGCTTTGATTAAACGTAACACACGGCCTATTCTAAAAACACGCCCCACACGCAGTAACGTTGGTGTCACAAACACCCCAGCTAGAAGGTCATCCAATATCAAACCTGAAATTATCAAAAATATCTTTGTTGAAGATCTCTAAAAAAGAAGAATTGGTGAAAGACTACCAAATGAAGCTTAGATTTTTGCTAGTTGAATCCAGTAAGTTGTGTGCTTGAAAGAGGCTTGCCTCTGAAGACAGAAATACATCTTTATGGATGCAGAAAAGGCTTGAAACACCTTGCTTTGTCATTTATATCATCTTGCATATTCTTGCTCATAACTGCATCAATGAATTTGCTTGTTGACTTTTTGCTCTGATTGTGCTTTAGAATTATCAATAGTCTTATTTAAAAAGACTTTTGGAAAAAGTTAAGAAAAAATAATTGATCATTTCTTAAATTAGACAGGAAGAAACAAAAAATAAAAAAAAATAATTTACCTGTCACTGAAAGTAGGACAATAATAAAATCAAAGACATTCCAGAATTGTCTGAAATAGTGCCATCTCATTCCAATCAATTTGATCATACATTCCAATATAAATATCACAGTAAAGATAATGTTGAGAATTTTTAATGCATCTCTAATAGTATCAGATTGTTTATAAGATTCTATAGCTAATGTTATCATATTTAAAAATATAATCACTATTATAGATAACTCAAACTTGTTACTTGTGGCTATATCAAAGAAAAACCCCTGGAACTTGGTCTGAAAAATACAAAGATAAGAATATAAAGATAGATTATCTAAATGGAACAATTTGTTACATCTTAAATAATATTTTAAGATTCAAACTAAACTGTCAGCCAAGATATAGTGATAACAAGCTTCATGTGTCAATGAACTACAAAGTACAGATAAATCAACAATCTGTTTGTTCCAATGTTCCAAAATTTCAACTTACCTTAGGTCTCTTGATAGTTTTCTGAGGTTTCTTATTTCCTAATTTTTTCAGAGTATTATAATAATTCCGTTGATTTGGTGTTAAAAACATATCTAGATAACTTCCATCATACTGTTAATATATTACATATATGATATCAACTCTTGTACACAATGTCACACCAAAACACAAATTAATAATAAGTACAGATTTGACAAAAGCAAATTCGTATCTTAAAATGGTAATCCGAAATCCATGTAAGCACAGAATTATGAGTTAACATCACTTCAAGTGGTTAACCTGATTTGAGTTTTAAATTCATGAACGTAACTGCGTAAAACCAACAAATAAAATTATTATCCTGTGAATTCATATAGATAAATAAGGCACCCAAACATAAATATAGAGAATATCAAACCTACCTTTTTCTTTAAAACATTAAAATTATCAATAATAACACCAATAATCAGATTTAGAGTGAAAAACGATCCAAAAATAATAAACGCCACAAAATATAAATAATAATAAATATTATTTTCAAACTTTGGTTGCACATCCACCTAAAATTATAAAAAACACTGAGCAATTCAAAAATGAATTTTATAAAGAGTAGATATATTGTACCATTTGCAAATAAACATTTGTATTCAATATTTCAAGCAAGGACTTTCATAACTAAATTTGTCATTGTTTGCCACTTGCTGGGTAATCAAATGCTTTAGAAAAATCCAATTCCCTCAACTGCATAAAAGTTCTGATCCTATGACTAATAAAATTACCTCTGTTGAATCTATAGCATCTCTCATGACTTCCATCCAGCCTTCAAAGGTTGCCTGAAATCAAAAACATTTGACACTGTTTTTAAAAGTTGAGGAGCACTCCAAAGAGGATTTCTTTGAATATCTTGGGTAATGATGAAATAAGTTTCTGAATGATATACATTATTGGTGTATATTTGGTGTTAACAGAATGTGCCTTAAGTTAAATTGTAAAAGAATCAGATGTCATAATAGCAATATGGATTAAGATAACTTATATTATGACAGAATCCCTTAAATGAGAATGCTGGTAGAATTTGACTGCTGATGGTACATATAGAAACACATTACTTACCACTTGAAATAGAGCTAGATAACCTTGTAAAACATTATCAAAGTTAACATTGGAATTTTTCCACTTATAGTTACTGTTTCTTAGACATTCTGTTTTATTTGGAACTACTGTGTTCAACAGGATTTCACCATTTCCATCAACACATTTATAGAACTTGCCAGCAAAGAATTGAACACCCATTATACTGAATATCAACCAAAACACCATACACACAATAAAGACATTAAATATAGCAGGTATAGCTCTCATTAACGCATTTACCACAATCTGAAATATAGTATATATAATTATATTTCAGTTCTTAGTTCATTCAATTCTGCATCTGGTTGTGTTTATGTAGAAGGGTATTTGATGAAGTATGCAGTGGGGAAACTTTGTAAGTCAATTAGAAATCATTTCATTTGTCACAGACGTGAATAAGCAGAGCGAGGCCCCTGTTCTTATATGCCCTAAATTCTTTAAGAAAATTAACACATAACAAATTCCTAAATGCAACCTCAGACTAGTCAGCTGTTTACAGTCTACATAAAATTAATCCAGAGAATAATTAAATATAATATATAGACCTACCCTCATACTTTGTAATCGTGAGATAGCTCTGAGTGGACGTAAAGCTCTCAATGTTCGTAAGGATCTAAAAGCTGTTAAATTACTGATTCCTAATGACTCAGCTATCAAACTAGCTACAGATATCTGAAAAAAATATTCAAAACTTCAAATATATAAGATTTCCTGAGGATATGTATATAAATTGAAAAATATCTTCAGATATTGTTGTATAAAAATAAATACCTCAGTAAAATGACTAGCAAATGGAAACTAGAAACAAGTGAAACTGGAATTGTCATATCAAATCAGAACAACTAATGTGTTCTTTTCCTTTTTCACAGAAGATTTGGTAGAAAAATTTGAATTTGTATCTTAACAGAAAGTTTTATGGTAAGATTAGAACTTACACAGACAATCAGAAAATCTAACAGTGTCCAGAAATTGGTGAAATATTTCCATAAACCATAAGCAAACCATTTAAACAACATCTCAGCAACAAATATCACACAAAATATAATATTGAGATAATACAGAGCCAGTTTTAATTCCTGGTTTTCTTCTAGGTGCACATCTTCAAACGCCTGCCAAATAATACAAAATATTCACATTAGTATATCATTTTTTGTATCAAATATTTATTGTAAATGTGTTTACTGTTAGTCAATCAACTGTATGTGAGGCTCAAATAAATGGTTTTAATTATGACTTATATGTCATTGATATTTTGTAACCTTGTAACCCTCAGTTATCTTAAGATTGTTATAGTTCACATAGTTCAAATGGCTTACCAAAGTGACGCTGCTAGCAAATATAACAAATAATATTCCATATTCAAATATCTTGTTATCCACAATCTTAGAACATGCTTCTCTCATTCTCTTCCAAAATTTACCAAATGGTGTGCTTGGATCAAAACTTTTACTACAAGATATTCTGAAGAGAAAATAAAAATAAATAAATATATAACTTACATTATTAAAAAGCTATTATAAAGATCTACTCCAAAAAATTTACATCTAGAATATCCCAATGTTATGATACAGTGATCTCTTTCTTAGCATAGATGTTTCTTTTTTTCTTATGGTTATAATCTATCCCAGGCTGTAAGCCAATCAATTGAAGAAAATGTACTTAATTGACAGGTAATTGGGGGCAACCTTTTGAAGATAGGAATTATTGACAGTATGATCAGTGTCATCCATCATAAAAACTAATAAACATAAGTATCCATACCCTTTAGTACAACACAATGGCAGACAATCTCGCAGTTCTGGAGGTTCTTCACCTTCTTTGTGATCCTCAGCTGTATCACCTAATTCAAGACCATCTACATCTTTATCTCCATCATCTTTCTTTTCTCCTTTCTCTAAATCTACCTCTTTCTTCATTCCATCTAAGGCTTTACCAAAATCAGCAAACTTATCTCTTTTTTCTGACGTCTCAAATTGACCAATAACATCCTAATTTTAAAAAAAGCTTATTAATGTCAAAACTTGTTGAGACCAATATATATTTTATAACTGGTTTTGTGATATTATTTGAATATCATGTTATTTCATATTGAGACAAAAAAAAACCAATACCTTTTTAGACGAGACATCACCATTCGACATTTTCTCTGATTCTTCTTTAATAGGTTTTATATCTCCATTACTTACTGATTTATAATCACTTTTATTTTCTGATACTAATAAAGAAAAATTCAATATTTAAATATTACTTATGATTTTTAAAAAATCCATTCTTCAAACACCTGAATAATTTGCCTTAAGGTTACTTTGGATGTAATATCCATCAAGAGGCTAGAGGTAATGAGATGTAGGCTGGGTTTCTGATAGTTGAAAAAGGAACTTATAACAATTGTAGATTAAATTATATTGTTGGTTAGCTTTTTCTGAATTTTAAATTTTTGGAATATATGTTTATCAGCAGACATCAAAAATGGTAGTTGTTCTAATCTTGGTCAGATGATCATATTGTAAAATTGATGAATGGATGCTTGACTCTCTTCTTAAGCTTAAGCTCAATCTCAATAAATGCCAGAACTATGCTTACCTTTCTCAGGTGGAACCTCTTCACCACGTTCATCTGGTTTTACCACATTACTATTACCAGGTAAACAACAACAACACAGGTGTTTAATTCTATGAAACGCCAATTTAAACCTTGATGTATCATCTTTATTGGATTCTTTATGTTTATTTAGTGAGTCTGTCGCAAATGCATTGAGTAACAAGGCCAAAAACAGATTCAGTACCTGAAATTTATTACAAAGGAAAAATATGTAAGAAAATCAAAATGAATTAACTGAATTAACTGAAGAAATACTTTACATTTAACAAAATATTGATGATTAAAACTGAAATTAGAAAATTACTCACCATAAAGTTACCTAGTACTAGAGCTGGTAAAAACACCAACATACACAGTTCATCTTCTGCTCTCATACAATCATACAGAGGCTCAATCCATTCTCCACATAATACACGAAATATCATCATAGCAGCATGGAAAAACGAACTAAAATTCCACCTTAAATATACAACATTTACAGTCTTACATTTACAAATCATTCAGTCATATAAAACATAAAACAGATTCATATTGTTTTATAAAAGTCAATCAAGCCATTTGTTCTGTGACCACAACAGATACTCATATATCATTTACAAGTTGAATAATTATAAGCTAAAGGTTCAATATTTTATTTGTTCAACGCCTGATTTGCCCCTAGTCAACAACTATATTTAAAATAGCATCAACAGCCTACCTCGGAATTCCATCAGGACTAAATTTATCAGCAGTATAACTCCTATTGAACAGTTGTAATCCAGTTACAGCAAAGATATATATAATGATAAACAAGACTACAGTAAGATTACCCAGTGCACCAAATGTATTGACAATAATAGATATTAAAATCCTCATGGTAGACCAAGACTGAGCTAACCGGAACACTCTTAACTACAAAATAAAAATATATTTTACATTGATATTGGTAAAAGTTGGGTAAAAGGTGAATTTGGTTGTTCAGTTTTACTTTTCTGCATTCTATAGGACTTATACAGCCCATCCAATGAAAGCTTAACACTTTTTATCAAAGCAAAACAGAGCTTCATATCCTCTTACATACTTTACTAAGACAGGAAATCATGGTGTCAGGATTGGGGAAAGCTGCTATGACAGGCCAATAAAAACAAAGCGTTGTGAATACAGGATTGTGAAACTTACCAATCGAAATGTTCTGAAGACAGAAAGACCATCAATATCTTCTAATCCTAAATCTATTAAACTGGCTAATACAATAACAAAATCAAATATATTCCAACCAGAGGCAAAATAATACTTTGATAAGGCTATAATTTTTAAAATAGCCTCTAATGTAAATACAGACGTAAAAACCTGAAATGAGAAATAAAAATAGTACTTTACAGAAATGAGTAAAATTTGGGCACTTTTAGAAATCTAAATCAAATCCCTTTCAAAGCCAGTAATGCTTATTAATATCCCAAACAGCATATGAAGATCTATTGTTAATTTATAAAAAACTGTTAGAAATAATCAATTCTTACATAATTTGAGATTCTGATGGTTTCCTGGGTGGTTTCGGACATTTCATGACTTTCACACGCCATTATAATAGTATTCATCAATATACATAGAGTTATAAATAAATCTAATAGAGGGTCAGTGATAAATCTGTGAATTATGTTCTGAAATTTGATCCATGGGACAAAACATCGACAACAGGAGCTACAAATGTTACAGTTTCTGTCTACCAGTTGTCCATCATAGCTCATAGCATCATCTTCTAACTCATCAGCTACAAATTAAATTGGAAAAATATTTAATTCCAAAATCATTTATAAACCTAAAAACATTAATATAACCCCTAACATAAAAAGTATATCCCAGAATTTCAGCAAGATATTTTCATTTTTTATCAATTTATTGTGTTTGTTCCAAGCTTTATGAAAAGATAATATCTCAAAATGTGAAATGTAGTAGGAGAAAATTCATTAACTTTGGAAAAGCTGAGAACGAAATAAATAAATAAATATATCATAAAATAACATCTAGCATAAACTCAATCAAAATTTGAAACTTACGTTTTACAATATAAACTGAAGTATCCTGACTGCCATCTGATATCATACTGCCTTCACCTAATGTAGATTGTCTCTCTAATATAACACATGATGATGATACCTGTAATCAGTCCAAATATTTTCATTAGAATATGGTATATCTGGAACTGCTACGTCAGTTTGATCCAGAAATTGGAACAATGAAAAAATAACAAGAAACCTTACAAGATTTGAAAACAGATCACAAATTGAAATTGAAATATCATTGAGCTTAAACAATAGAAATTTTTTTAATAATGAATCCTAGAATAATAAAACAGTGACTTTAGATCAAAAGAGAAAGTATGATTGTGTCTTTTAATTCACATATAGAGCTCAAAATCAGAGAATGGAATATGAAAATAGACAAGATTCGATTTGTAAACAAAAATCTCAAAATTGTGACTTTAATAAGCTCAAAATCCGTGTTGTGACTCTAACAAGTTTAGATTCCATCTTTAAATCATAAAAGCTTAATATGAAAAATGTGGCCAGATATAAGCTTAAAATATTGGCTAAAAACTCAAGTTAAGAGAAGAAAATATATAAGGTTAACACACACTCAAACAAATAAACTGACAACATAGTTTCAACAATCAGTTTAATATTTCAAACTAATATTAGTTATCAAACCAAAACATAGACAGGTAGACATTTACAACATTAAATATCAGATCAGGTATAAAAACATAGAAATTCTAAGTATCAGGGAGATATCAAGTTAAAAATCACAACCCCTTAAATTATACACACTTACTTTTAACCCTTCCTGTAAATTAGAGAGGTAAATATTGTATAAGTATGAAGAAAGTTCTCAATGAAAGCAAAACCAAAACATATTTTCCATTTTTCCATTTTCCTTGGGCCAAATAAGAAAATGTGACATTAATATAGAAAATGAAATGTTTAGTATTAGAGTTTGTGTTAAAGTGACAGATTCGTCTTATTATACAGCAAAATATCTGTCCCTTTAACCAAGGCTTGAAATTAGATAGTTTATGTAACAATTATACATGTAGTTAAAGTAATGGTATCATGTTATTAAATTAGTACTAAGCTATTTATACAGTTCAACTAGCTAACACAAGACACAATTCACAGTATCATACTTACTCCTCCACTATCCTGTTTGATGAGAATCTTTTTAAGAGCATCCTTCTTCTTCATTAAACCTTCAGAACTATTTGATGTGGTACTACTCATGACATCACAGTCTTCATAATGACGTAAACTCTGACGACTATCTTGATGTTTTAAAACTTTTCCAACAGGTGCTTTGATACCTTTAGTGTTTTCTGAGAATCCACTATCTTTGCTAGGTTTTTTCACCAATGGTTTATTAGGGTTCTGTGATAATCGAGGTGATTTGTTTGATGATGCTATTTTGGGCCAGTTTGACTCACGTCTTTTAGTGAGTTGTGGCCCTTTATTTCCTATCCCTGTCTTCGTGCCCTGTTTTCGTTTGGTGGCTACTTTCATTCTAGCTACATCATATAATGAATTAGGTTTCTTTTTCTTTTCACTAGCTCTTTCTCTTTCTCTCTCCTATAAAACAAAATATGTTTTCATGTAGCAAACAATACAATAGAAAAATGTCTTTAATTTTGATGCTAGTGTGATAAAAATGTGTGTTCCTGATAATGATTACAATTTGAACAATTTTTGACAAGCTATTTCCCAAACAAAACTTACTTTTCTTTTAATATGATCTCATGTAAAGACAATTTTCAAATTTTTTATAATACAAAGACCACTTAGATCATGTGACCTCATGATTTCAATGGATCTAGTTGTAAATGAATACGAAAAAATGCTGAGAAGTTTGGCAAAGAACTAGATGGTAGAAGGGGTTCTCAAGAACCTAGTTAGTTCTTATCTTTGTAAACTATGGATGTTTTTATACTTTCTTCCCAACCATTCTATCCCATAGTAACTTGATTGAAATTACAAGCCTCTTTTTCATTAGTGTACATTGTGTTTACCTTGCCAGCATTTTCTGCTTCCTCTTCATAGGATAGAGCTACTACAGCTAACATTAGGTTGATTAGGTAAAATGATCCAAAAAATACTACCAGAATAAAAAACACAACATTCCATGGTCCACTGGCTCTTATTACCTGAAATTATACAAGGTCATTTTTGTCCAGGATGTATTCATGCCATAGTGAAATAGAACAGGACATGGAACTACGAAAATAAATAGTCATTAGTTTTATAAACAAAAATAAGAAGGAACAAATAATAATGTTATATCATTGATGGTGAAATACTATCAGAGGTAGCCAGGTGTTGGTGTAAAGGATCTTTTGTTCTAGAATGATGAGTTATTTTGATAATTGGTGAGGTGCACCTATGCATCCTTTTAGAATGTAGTTCTTGTCAACTTTCAGAGAGTTCACATATTATAATAATTGTATTCATTAGGTCTTATTTGAATACCTGTCACATAATAGTACATGTGTTTTTTACAATGACAAGAGGAATGACCCAAATTTCAACTATAGTGAATACTTGCTTAATATTATGTCAGTGCCCTTGAAAGCATGCACTTGTTGCAAAAGAAATTTTTCATTGCCTAGCAACCAGAATACAGACATTTTGAATGAGTTAACAAATTGATTGTATAGTTAACAAAACTGACTTTTGTTCTCAATCAATTGTAAGAAGACAGTTAAATAATAAAGAGGCCTTTGAGAATAGAATATATAACTGTTGGTGAAATTTGCCATATTGCCAACAATGTTATGAAATCAACAAACCTTTAAAAGGGATGGAAACCTATCTAATAACTACAAGAATTTGCCTGAATACAGTCAATTTAATTTTGACAACTTAATCTCTTAATGAAGTAATTCATAGATATAATTTAGTTTGTATAATTCCACTAAAATTAACTTGACGGATCAGTTTCAACCCAAGACATTTTAGCCATGGTGAGGGTGATGTGAAAAGTTTCGGATGAAGCCATATAACAAATCTTGTGTTGCAAGCTAAACCTGTGATAGATCTTCAATATTTCATTGTGGCACAGGGCAGATTATACAAACAAGAACTATGGACATAAACTATTATGATATGAATAATAGATTTTATATTAAAAGCTGGATTAAAGGTGTGTTCATTTTCACCTTTTCTCAGACTTGACCTTTATTTAGCTTTATATTATAAATGAGGTAATTTACAGGTCACATGGTATATTCAGAAATGTAGGGATTAAAAAGCCAATGACAAATCATTTATTGATATCAATATATAGAAGCCTCTATTATATAAATGATATTTGAAACTGTTATATTATGATAGTTCCACCCATGTGTAAAATCAAACAATGCTATTAAGGGTAATTGAGTATATTTACTAAATTGTTAAAAAATACAAATTAACTATGTAGGCTATGGGAAAATGAAGTCAAGCAGACAAAATCAATTGTAAGAATAGCATTTTGTATTGTAATAAATGCCTCTAGCAAACTAGTATTGACAACATTAAACAAGTCGTGCAAATTCAAATGAGAAGTACAAAGCAAAATCTAAATCCATTAAAATAAAGGATTCAAGCAGAGGAAAAAGCTCATCCAACCTTAGTTTAAATCAAACATTTTTCAACAACCTGAGAAATCTCCCCCTTGAGAATGTCTATAATATGGATATTGTCAACTATTACCAACAGTTCTAACACTTATTATTGTTACACTGAAAACATGGCAGTGAGCCAACCTATAGGGTATAACAAGACTTACCTTATCATAGTTATCTTCCCAAAAGTCAAGTGTAATCAGTTGAAATGCATTTAGTATTGCCCAGCCAAAATTATCATAGTTTGTATATCCATAATTGGGATTATCACCAATATCAGGGAGACAGGTGAAGTTTTCAGGACATCCTCTGAAAATACAAGACTTAATGCATTATAGAGCTTACAATGAAATCTTACTTGATTAGAGCATTGGCGGAACCAAAGGGAGGGGGGGGGGGGGGGTGCAGAGAGGGCAGCCACCCCGCTCGCAGACCCAAAAAGCAAGTTTTTTGGTCATGACTCTCATAATTAAGTCAGAAAACTCAGATATTTCAATCATCTGATTGATTAATTAATTAAATCAATGTTACTGACTGACCCATCAAATGAACGGGGCATTAATTTTTGTGAATCTTGCTTCTAGCAGGATATCCAGAAGAACATGTTCATGAAAGTGTCTAGACTGAGACATATTTGTTTCAAAGTCTCTAAAAGAACTGTGTCAGCAATCCTATCAAAAGTCATACTATAAATAGTAGCTGTTCATTACTAACTGTTACTAACTTGTGAAACTAGAAATTACAGGACCATCCCTGAACTAAAAATGTGACAGAAATCAATCTTACCCAGCACCAGATGTATTACCACATAACATATAATCATTGGGTTCACCATACCAATTACCTTTAATTATACAAATTTTATTGTTCATTTACTTGATTGATAAATCTGAAACATATTGACTCTTATATGGTCTCAGATGGTCACCTTTTGGCAGATATTAAATGGACTAGAGTCAGACCAATCAGACTCAGTTTTCAAACAGATGTGCTTCCAATATTTAAAACACTGCACTAAAGAGCTGTAATAACACCAGCAATCCTAACATTCATAAAAGAAATTAAATATGAAAAATCTAACATCATAAGAAAATGGTTCATTTAAAAAATCAAAGAAACTTACTGATGTTCCTGATATGATTGGCATACAGAGTATCGTAGGTCTCTGGTGTGGTGGTATTAGGATCAAATGGTAAATCAGAAACACATTTATGCCGTAAAACACCCTGGTATACTTGTAATCCAAATAAGGCAAACACCATCAAACAGAAAAATGTCAACATAATGACATCTATCAACATCTTGAAAGCTCTTAGTAAGGCATTGACAATAGTTTTTAACCCTGCAGTAAAGAAAAATAATCATTTAATTGACTCATTTTGAGTAATTCATTTCAGATTTGTAGGACTGCAATAAGAACGTTAGTTCATTTTAATCAATCTTAATTCTAAATTATCTCTAGAGATAAACTGCAAACTTACCAGGTACAATGGAAACAGTTTTTAAAGCTCTTAAAACTCGGAATGTTCGTAAAACTTGAAGGTTACCAATTGATAAATCTGGATATATCAACTGAATTAAAATTGTTACAAACCTGAAATGAAAGAATTTGCTTAATTTAAGATGTTTAACTTTGAATAATATAGAAAACTTCAATTTTACTGAAAAGGTACCATGAACACTAAGAAGCAGAAGAAGCTGATGATTCAGATGTTGATACTAAAGACTTGAATAACATTGATGACTCTGACCAAAATAAGGATGATTCCAAACTTCTTGGAATGCTGATAATTTTGATGATGATGATGATGAATCTTAACAATTGTCCAATGATTGTTAAAGGAGATATATTTCACCGAAAGAGGAAAGGTAAAAGCTGAGCTATCAGCAGATACTTACGCTAAAACAATTACAATAAAATCCAACCAATTCCATCCATCACGTAAATAGGTATATTTATCAATAATAAATCCTCTAGCTGTTACTTTAATCAACATTTCTACTACATAAATAGCAAGAAATATATACCTGAAATAGATAACATCTATCAATTAGCACTGATCTATATCAGTGATGGACATGGTAACATTGACTATGTTATTTTAAGGGACCAGTTGGTATCTAAATGTTCATATTTTTTCACTTGCCATCCATGATTTAACAATATTTTTTGTTAATTCGTGTTCAGTTGAATAATGTTCCAATACCTTCAAAAGTTGTCATAATTTATTACAATAAAAAAAAAAAACCTTGAAAATATTACTAACAATATATTGTTATTGTAATGTAGTCATATTAATAACATAGCCTACACATAAAAGTGTCTTCATGACATAAAATTGAGTAAATCTTGTAATGAATCAAGCATATGATTGGTTCATATTTTTAGGATCTAGAATAATATGTGTCTCATTGTCAGATCCTGGATGAGAAGTGAGGTCACCCACAGAAAAATTTTGAACAGAAACTACCCCACCTCTTCCCAATAAACCAATTTTTATATATCTCACAAGTAAGGAAAACTGAAGGAAGCTGGAATTTTTGCTTCCCCACATGTTCACATGTGTTAATCCAAAATTAGACAAGGAAAATATTGTAATAAAATGAATAAATAATGTTTAACAAGAATAATAAATAGGAATAAAAGTTACTTGATATCAATATTGTTAACTACAGAAGAAATTCAACTATTTTATATTCAGTTTATGCAAATATCTTAACCATTAACTATAGATTACAAATCAAATAACCTTTTTACCATTTCGATTCTATTGACTGATTCTAGAACAAGGCTTATTAAAATTAGAAAGGAACTGTAGAAGAAACAATAGCAATATTTCTTTATTGATCTTACAGTAAAAGTTTATCAATGGTTTTATTTTTAACTATAGTTGCTTGACGTCAATTTGTCATTTTGATTCTGAATAGTCAGGAATTTTTAGCTGCTGTATTTGTCTACAAGTGTTTTATCAGTTGCTAATTGGTGTGAGAATTTCACAAAAACCAACCAACATGTAACGAGCAACAACTGGGAATTGGAAGTCCATAAGCTTACCAAACTAACTGAGGTAGATATGAAATAAGTCCTTCAAATTGCATGGATCATTCAATAAGAGTTAGCTATTAGGACGCATCATTTATTCCTTAGCTGATTCCAGGACTAATGAAAATGTACCAGGAATCGCCCTTGAAATTAATAATATCTTGCACAATCAATGAATGGAGTAAACAGGTTTTGATGTCAACTTATTACTTCTGAACAAATATTTTATAATCCTTATTTGATGTGGAAAACTTAAAGTTGGCTTGTCATAATTATTCTTATTAATGAAAGGGCTTTTGTTTTTATCTGCATAATATAAGATAGCAGAACAACAATAGACTAGCACTCCTAGGACTAATTAAATTGAAATGCATGAAGAGGTTTGTTGTTTAAATTTCTAGCAGACTAAAATATATTCAAATTTAATCAGTTTGATCAGAAAAATATTTATCAATAACTTGAATTATCTAAATAAATTATCGCCATCTATAAAATTACATCTCCTAATTAGCACATTTAGCTATAGATTTTTAGTTCAAAACATAAAAGTTTTATAAGGTATCATTCAGCTTACTAAAGGGAAGCAGAATTTTCCTTGTGTTAAGGAATCAAAGAGTGGATGGTTATATTTAATTTAAAATATTGAAATATTCTGTGACATTTTTGCTGATGTATTTGGTATATTTCTATTATCTTTAGTTCCTTTATTAGGCAATAAATTTTCAGTTAAAACCAAATGGTCTTATAAGGAATCCAACCTTATGTATTTGGTATATTTCTGTTATGTTTCGTTCGTATAGTCTTCACTAAGCCTGAGGTATAATATTTTAATCAGTGGTGGAATAAAAACAATGACCTTCTCTGTAGCGTCAGAAACAAAGAAAGCTCGGAACAATAAACAATGATAATAAGAACCTATAGCTTAGTAACGATTGCCATCAGCCATTTTTTTCAGGGCTCACAGCCTATTATAAAGGTCAAAATATTTCAGACTTATAATAACATTGGACGGAACTTTCTATCACTGAGACTCCTTCATCTTTTTATCATGTGTATTGACTTCAAATTCAGCATGATTTAGATGACAACAAATGATAAGAAATGAAAAAGAGTTCAAAGTCATTCTTTTTTGCACGTGATTGAGCTATTAAAGACAGTCAATGCCATGAAGTGTGTAATGAGGGAAATTTGGTCATTCAAGCATTGTTAGCTACTCTGTTACAATTTTTTAACTGTTGAAGGATCTTTAACATGCAACAATGTATGCAGTAAACATGACTTTGGTTTATTATTACATCCCAATGACTAGACACTTCTTCAATGTTAGTTACTACATAACTGACACAAGAAACCAGTTTGAAAAACTTAATCTAAAAACATAATTGAACCTTGGACCTTCCCCAAGCTAGTGTCTACCTCACAGATCCATGGTGGTCAGACATACTTATACAATATATATTATGGTAAGACATACTTGTATAAGGTTTTATAATATATAATATGGCTAGACATACTTGTATAATATGTATATCATAGTGAGACATACTTGCATAATATGTAATATGGCTAGACATACTGGTATAATATATATTATAGTGAAATGTGCTTGTATAATATATGATATGGTCAGACGCACTTGTATAATATATATTTTAGTGAGACATACTTGTATACTATATAATATGGCTAGACATGCTTGTATAGTATATATTATAATGAGACATACTTGTATAATATATATTATAATGAGACATACTTGTATAATATATATCATAGTGAGACATACTTGTATAATATATATTATAATGAGACATACTTGTATAATATATATCATAGTGAGACATACTTGTATAATATATATTATAGAGTTAAGAAACAAACTGAAAGGTCATTAACTTAATAAAGAGATAAAACCTCTCTTAAAAAACTCCACAATTAGTTAGCTTTAATTAGCTCTCGGGAAATTTAACCATTTATCATAAAACCCATCTTTAAAGCAGGAAATTACCACATTCATGATTATTTGAAAATTGTAAAAATAAACAAAAGTCACAACTATTCAGGCTATTGATTTAATAATATTTTCTGATTCAGTTTCAAGCAGATATTTGATCATTTGAAATAATTTTGAAATCAACAAGTCTTTTAGTTTATTACCAGTTCACAATAATTATCTAATTTATCTAATTGTGATACACAAATTCAAAATTAGCTGGTCTGATGATGTATTGCTATCTAAAATGTTTTTTGAATGTTGTTTGAAAACAAGAGCTCTGTCAATTAGAATTAATATCATAACGTGATTATGGTAACATGGGTGGCATGATGCACAAATTTGAAAATAAAGGCTTTCAGTACATATTCTCTAAGAAAAAAAATAAGTTGATACTTACTCTAAAGTTTCAGTGATTTGGAGATCAGGCATAGTCATAAAAACACAGTTAACAATAATTGTTAATATAACAAAATAATCAAAAAATTGGTTGGTAGCTATCCGAACAGCTAACTGTCGTAATGGATTCCATGGAGGAAGGAGGAAAAATGCACTGGTAGATGAAAATCGGTAGATGAACTTCTTTTTAAATCTTTTGGCAATCACAACAAATGTCTGTAAAAAAAGGAAAAAGATATCACATAATATCATTTAGAACTATTTTAACTGTAATGATTAGCTATATGGACAGACAAATAAAAAGATGCTGATTAACCCAGTTGCAGAGTGGTATCACCAACACTGGTCTCTGTAATCATCAAATGGTGTTTTAATAAGTGTTAGACTAGGTTGGAGGAACATACTGTAGAGATTGACTTCAATAGCTATAATGTAACCTATTGGTGATAATCATATAAAATATGTGGACAGATTGATATCTTAAAGCAATGTAATAAACAGACAATCTACAAGTACATCAACCTTGTTTGAGATAAATAAACTATAAATAATGGCAACATAAAGCCATGTAAGTAGAATGCCTTCCTGAAAAATCTCAAAACAAACCAAATAGGATGGAGCAGATAAAAGAATTGACTTAAATAGAAACTTTTCCTTTAACTATTTCCTCAATAGTTTGTTTGCAGTGGTCATATTTCTGTAGCATGCTTCAAAATAAAGTCTACAATGGTCTGTAGAGAAGAATAAAACCAGGCACACCTGATAAGACTATACAATTAGTTTTATGAAGGTCTCAGGTTTTGGTTTTTATCCTGAATGAGTGAAGACCATTCTAGTTGCTTAATTTAGACAATGAAACTAAAAACTAAATGTCTAACTAAAACATCAGACATATAAAACATCTGTATTTCAAACAAAAAATATCATGAAAAATTCCAGAATTACTTTCTTCTTTCAAACCTACAGATAAATAATGGAGCCCTTCCTTTATCTCATTGATGGTCTATTTTTACTGATACCTGTTATATTGTTCATTGCAGTATGTTCTGTTAGAAAAATTATTATGCTTATCAAATGCTCAGTGCAGTAAAGCATTTCACCACTTAAGAGAAATTCTATTGTAACTTTTTGCAGTTTCACAATATATTTTCTTAGTACAAAATTGTGGAATACTACTCAATATAACGTTACTTTGAAAATGTTTGTGTTCAATTCAATACTAATTACATGAATTTTTCTCTGGATTTGGAATAATTAACAGTTACAAGTATGATATTCATTTTTAACTCCACTGATTTGGACAATGAAACAAAAAAATTGTGTAAAAATGGCTAATTTATAATAATAAAGAAAGTTGAGAAATAGGTAAAGAGTGTTTAATTACAGACTAGGTGATTAATAATCAATATTATGTTTAATTAATCACTTTATTTTGTCTACATGTAAATCAATAGTAATCTTACAGGCATACACCATAATAATTTAACATCTAATTCAAATTTATGTTTGATCAGAAATTGAATATGCTGCTGGGATTTAAGAATATATATTGATCTGGCAGTGATATATTGAAGCCTGTTGTAAACATTCAACACCCATCTTCTTATGATAAAGTCCAGTTTTCAACACCCATCACCTTATAATAAAGTACAGTTTTCAACACCCATCACTTTATGATAAAGTCCAGTTTTCAACACCCATCACCTTATGATAAAGTACAGTTTTCAACACCCATCACTTTATGATAAAGTACAGTTTTCAACACCCATCACCTTATAATAAAGTACAGTTTTCAACACCCATCACTTTATGATAAAGTCCAGTTTTCAACACCCATCACCTTATAATAAAGTACAGTTTTCAACACCCATCACTTTATGATAAAGTCCAGTTTTCAACACCCATCACCTTATAATAAAGTACAGTTTTCAACACCCATCACTTTATGATAAAGTACAGTTTTCAACACCCATCACCTTATGATAAAGTACAGTTTTCAACACCCATCACTTTATGATAAAGTCCAGTTTTCAACACCCATCACCTTATGATAAAGTACAGTTTTCAACACCCATCACTTTATGATAAAGTACCGGTACAGTTTTCAACACCCATCACCTTATGATAAAGTACAGTTTTCAACACCCATCACCTTATGATAAAGTACAGTTTTCAATGCCCATCACTATTATCTATTATGTATGGATTTTATCATTTGTTGCAAAGACAGAACCATCAGATGCAGACTTAGCTGTATAAAGCAGTATTGTTTCCCATAAGAGAAATCTTTGTTTTTTTCATGGTCATTGACATTGAAGAAAACTGGGCAATTTTCAAAAATGACTAATAACCTAGACTCTTCATCTGAAATACCAGCACTTAAAGAATACTGATGCTTTTAAAGCAATAAGGAGAAGATAAATATAATATAAGTAAAAGTCTAGGAATGGAAATAGAGAAGAATAGACACAGCTAGTGTGAATTTAAAATCAATATAGATTATTATATTAAAAATTATCATTAAGCTTAAAAAAACATCACTTCTTAGATCTGGATATTACAAGGAGATCTTCTAAATGTTCTTTTTACAATAAGATTGTGTAATTGGTAAAAAACTTAAGTTCTGAAAATTCCTTATAGGTTTTAATCATTGGGTCTCATTTATTCTCAAGGCCAAAAGTTTTGTGGACTAACATCAGAACTATTTGGACGGTGACTTTTTTTCAGCAGTTTGCAAGAAAATGGCAAACTTTTACAGTTTCCAATATAATTATAACGTGGGCCTATAAAAACTAATAAAATAGATTTATTTAACATTTTCTTATTGTTACATGAACAATAGACATCAATTAGGGTTTATTGAGCAAGCTGTGACTGGAAAGAGAATTGTTAGACCTATTATTAGTCAGTAAGATTAATATATTAACAGTAAAACACAATGGTACCATAAACAGAAGCCTGAGGTTTAATTAATGACCACACCAAACATCTGCTCATTCACCTGAGCCATCAAGTCAACCTGAGTGCTGTTAAACCTCAGAACAGACAAGTCAAGCTCGATTTTGGTCTGTAGGTCATGCTCATGTTCATAAATTTGATAAGAAATCCATGTTTAACTTTCAGACTTTATTTTTGTAAATGTTGAATGTTATATAACCCCATTTAGACAATTTAGTCAATAGCTCATATGTGAGTACACAATGTTGAGGACCAAAAAAGAAAAAAAAAACTTTGTTTTATGCATGTCTTTGCCCTACAATATTTGGAATTTTTTAAAAAAAAAAGTCATGAAAATGCACCATGAGACACCAATTGAAAATTGAAATCAAATATATATTCAAGATAAATTTGTTGTTTGTTTGTGTTAATCTAATTATAGATTGCTATATAAGATTATTGGTAAGGGATTAACAACCTGAGATACCAGGCTAATAATCTCTTGTTTATAAGGGTTACACAATTAAGACCTAAATGGTTTAAGTAGGGAATAAGACAATGGGTTTTATAGTGATATTATGTGGAATTTGTAATATGGTATTATTTTGTAATCTATTCAAAATAATTCACTGAAGTTAATACAATATCACATACCTACTAAAATACAGATTGTAGTAAAAATACCATCAAATCTGATAAATAGCAGAAAAAAACTTTGTTGGATCATTCAAGTTTTACCTAATGTCAAAAGCACAAAATGGAAACTAAATAAAAATATAACTGTTTTGGAGAAAATTCAACAATTCAGATTAAAAGTAGCAGAGTGCTACTCTGGAGGGTTGCAAAAAATTACTCAAGGTAAACCAAATACAGTACAAGTAAAACACTGATTCACTGTCATTAAGAATATATCATATGTTAACAAAAAAGTCTGATATTTCAGCAAGTAAATAGTTGATTTCAAATTTTACAATAGAAAGGGCAAAAACCAACACATATTCTGTGTTGTTTTGAAATTAAAATATTAAAAAATCAATATATTCTTAAAGATTATGTGTATCTGTGTTGTTCATTTTCAGGAAAGGTGTGGACTTTTGTGTTAACTTCTTTCTTAACTTAATCTCATCAGGATAATTCTTTCAAATGTATAATTAAAAACCATCATTGTTTTTTCCACGAAACAAAGATCAATCACTAAAACAAACAACATGACATTGTTTCTAATTTGGAAAGTTTTTCAGGAAATTGACTGACGGACAGAAGCCCTGAAAGATACATTACAAGGTCTGTTATAAAATCTATGTGCAACAACTTAAAATATAAACACAAGAAGATTGGGAAAAGAGTGCCAGCTTATGACTTTCAGAAACTTTTTTATTAGAGTTTTTAAATATTTCCTTGTTTCCTTGAATATAACCAAAATTTGGGTAAACTATGAACTTTTAAACAATCCTTCTAGAACCTTTTCAGATATTTCAATTTCTATGACAGACTGTCTTTAAAAAGTCTGTAGTTCATTTGAGAAATAACACCCCACCATGACATTAAAATTAAAGTAGGAAATTAACTACTTGGACCACATTGTAACATTCAAATTTAATTGAATTTCAATAATTAATCATTCAATTACTCAGACTAGCTGGATAAAAAATCTGTAAAACTAATTTCAAACATGTTATGATCAATAACATAACAATGATTTTTTGGCTCCTTATGACATAGCTATTTGTCTCTCAAGGTTTCAAATCAAAGTCAGATTTCAATTCCTAAAATCTCAAACTGCAGTGAACTGTGCATGATAGAATTTGATAGGAATATGATAGGAATTGCCAAATTTCAATTTTCTGGCTCAATGATAATAAAAGAGGATTGTGTGAAGCATTTGTGACTTAATCCAACTTATCATTTTGCTTACAGTTAGCATGGGAGAGAAGGGTGGAAGAATACAAAGAGCACAAAAAACTGTGAACCAGGGCCTAAGAGTATCTTAAACAGGGGAGATTGTAAACCAATTAAAAAAGGCAGCCTTCATCTATTTTACTTCACATCCACAGAAAGTAATTCACTGGGGTCTGGTGCTGCTTGATTGACTACCAGAGAGACAGTACTAGACTCTACTGATATCCTTACCTTGTCTTATCTAATTAAATATTTAATACCCTCTAGGATTCAAATATGTCAACAAAAAAACTAGTTAAAGCCACAGATGGTAGTATATATGAAAATAAAGCCTTGTCTACTACCAAATTGCATCAAAAGTAATTCAAACAATCTGAATCTGAAACGTTTTTTCCATTTGTTGTGTTCAACTGATT